AGCCCCAACCCCCCCCCCCCCCAAGGTAAGAGAACATGTTCAATTTTTTGATTGGCGCCATAGATACTGACTTTTGACCAATATTTTATTTGCCTGTTGCAGGCAATGAGCTATGTGGTCCAGGTGTTGGTGCAAGTGTTGATGCAAAACTGTATGCAAAAGATACGATCAGACTACGTTCTCTCATACATCAACTGTATGAGAACATCCACTTGAAACCTCTTATATTGGCACCGGGAGGCTTTTATGATAAGTTGTGGTTCGAACAGTTCCTTGATGCTTCAGGGCCATCCACTGTCAATGCCTTGACTCATCATATATACAATCTTGGACCAGGTAACTTGGTAAACCCGTAGTATCATTTTTATGGATTTGTATATGGTAAATCGGGGTGATGCTTACCAGAATAAAGAATGTAGTCCATGAAGCATAAGTTACTTTTATTGAACTATAAAGACTGAAATGAAGATAAATGAGCTTTTCTACCTTCATCTTTTGAATGTTTTTTTCATTTAGATTATTTCCAAAAGCATTTTGATTCGTTTTAATAAAATTCAACCGTTCAAAATTTCAGCCAAAGCTTCTGCAAAACCAGTCATTTCAGTCCATTTTAGCCCAGCAAATGAGCTCTTAAATGTAGAGGAAGATATGTTTGTCTGATTATGTCACCACTTTGTTTGGCACTTGAACTAAGACCTACAAATTCTGTTTTCAGGATCTGACACCAATCTTACGAGCAAAATTCTAAATCCCAATTACCTAAATAAGATATCAGATACATTTCAAAGTCTTTCACAAACCATTCAAGCAAATGGTCCTTGGGCTTCAGCTTGGGTTGGAGAATCTGGCGGTGCATATAATAGTGGTGGTGAGCATGTGTCAAACACCTTCATCAACAGTTTTTGGTAATTTCCGGTCATTGAACTTTATTTTTACTAAAACACAAAAATTTAAATGCAGCTTTGAATAAAACATAGATTTTGAACTTTAAAAAATAAAGTTGTCATTATATCTGTATGTAATGGAATTTAAGGTATGTGGATCAGCTTGGGATGGCAGCCAAATACAAGACAAAAGTCTATTGCAGGCAAAGCTTAATCGGTGGGAACTATGGGCTCCTTGACACAAACACTTTTGTCCCGAATCCTGATTATTACAGGTTAGGCGAATGGTTTATTTAGTTCAAGGATAAAATCCTGTTTGGTTAGGCATAAAATAGCTGAAGTTGTGGCTGAATTGGTTGTATGTGCCAAAGTACCTAAACAAAAAATTACTAATTTTTTTAGTAAAAATAAGTTAGGTGAAACGTCTTGCCAATAAAGCTGGTAAGCCAAAAAAAGGTTTTACCAAATGGGCTCCAACCCATTCTGCCAACGGAAAAATGGGATGAACTTTTTAAGTTGGTTCTTGAATGATTCATATGAATGCGGATTACCTAATGTTCTCTTTCAATTCAGTGCACTTCTTTGGAACCGACTTATGGGACGAGGAGTGCTTGATGTTAAAAGCAATGCCTCACCGTATTTACGTTCTTACGCACACTGCACTAAAGAAAGAGTAAGCACTATGTGTATCAATTTTTATTTGGCACTAGATATACCACATGCCTATGTTGCTCCAAAATTGAAATTGCATATTCTCATGGAACTTGCATCACTGAACTATAAGGATGTCGCCTTAACCCCAAGTATGTTAGGATGTGTTCCATGAAGTTTGTAGTGTCAAGTGTAAAAATACTAGCACTATATAATATATATTCATGTATGCCGCAGTTTTAATGACACTGGAGTTGGGTGTCATATTATGACATTGAGCCCCTATGGTGCTCGGACTCAGAAGGTGTCCCCCCCCCTCCCCAATGCAGATTCCTACAATAACCGTAGGAAATTGATGATTGGGGTGCAGGAGAAAGGGGGTTTTGGAGGGGGGGGGGGTTAGGAACAATTTGGGGGGGTAGCAGGGATGATTGAGAATTCAAATAGAGGCACATTAAACCTTCATATTTAACTTGTTGCAATTGACATTCATACAGGCTGGTGTAACCCTGCTTTTAATCAACCTAAGCAATCAAACAGAGTTCCGTGTTGACATAAAACCCACTACAAGCACCAGCATGCATGCCAATGTGAGACCAAATCACAAGAAAAGGTCCTTCCTGCACCGGCTTAAGCAAATTGTTTCATGGGTTGGAAGCAAATCATTAGATCTTTCGTTATCCCGAGAAGAGTACCATCTAACTCCCAAAAACAAGTACCTTCAATCCCAAACCGCACTGCTGAACGGAATCCCATTGCAACTTACAGAAGATGGAGACGTCCCGGGCTCTTCGCCAGTCCTTAGAGATTTGAAGTCTCCTGTCTATATACCCCCCTTGTCCATCAAGTTCATCGTGTTCCCCAACTTCAATGCCCCATCTTGCCCTGAGGTTTGAAGCATCATGCTTTTTTTAACAAATGATTTGGTAAATTTATTATAGGTCTTCATTGTATACCATATGTATCACTGGCTTATGTTGCATTCTTATGACTCTGCAAATTTTACTTCCCACACATGAGTGCATTTGATTCATGAAATAATGTCAATATGATTTGATTTTCAATAATCAATAAAGAAATGAAAATTGATTGCTTTCTCCGGGCTCCTAAGACTTTTATAGATTGGCTGTTTTGCAAATGGTACATTGAAAAGTGTCTACTTCGTAGATGTAACTTGGAGAGGCTTTGGTTAGACCTGCCAATCGGATCGGTTCCAGTTCGGATATCTATCGAATATGTGTTATAATTAGTTTAATTTGGTCCGGCTTAATTTCAAATTCGGATTTGATTTGGTTCTATACAATTTTAGGGTTTGGATCGATTAAGATTTGGTTAGGATATAAATCTGTTTGAATAGAATTGATATATTTCAATTTAGATATATTTCGGTCCTGGATTCCTTTCGATTCGGATGCTTTTTGGCTAGATATATACTTATTTTTATATTAAAATTTAAATTTCCGTGTTTTCTTAGCATCTTTATCGTATCATATTTATCAATGAATCATTTTCATTATTTTACCTTTTCTTAACTATTTTTTGAGATCTTTTCTTTAATTTTTCACTTTTTGTCTTTTAAGTTTTTTTTTTGTCTAATATTTTCAGTTTTAAACTTTTTACTCCCTACTTCCTTTTTTAATTTTTTCTTCTTTTTCTCTAGATTTTCTATCAAGCTCCATCTCAATCATCACCTACATTAAAGCGCAAAGTGTGTAGCAGTTTGACTAAAAAAAATTCAATTATAAATTAAGAAACTGAAGCCATATGGAATGTCTAGATACTCGTATATAACAAAGTTGTTCAGGCTTAGTGGTAAGATAAAAAATATAAATTTGAAATTACATCAATGTAATTGTGTACTTGTACAAATAATTATCATAACTTTATTGAAAAGTTATACTTTGTAATGAGTTTCGAGTTTTATCAATATTAGGTATAATGAACTTTGGGTATAATTGATATCAGGTTTTATCAGTTTCGAGTCTTATCTATTTATGATGTTATTGCTTTGAGTCTAATTGAATCAAATTTAAATCAACTATTGATCTTTGTTTGGTTCCGATTCGATTCGTATCATTTTAAGTATTCAATTATAGATCAGATCTTTACTTTTCTGATCATTTCAATTTTAGTTTCGAATATTTTTATTGGATTAATTAGTTCTTGTTCTACTTTTTCAGATCTAGCTTTCATGCAAATAATAAAGAAAAATCATCTCAAATAATATCACTCCTCGCCATATTCCGATATGTTAAAAATATTGATATTATGTAAAATAATTTCATCTTTTTGAATAGTTACGGAGTACATATTTTGGATCGGTGTTATCCTACCACCATAAAATGGATTGAATGATGAGATGAAAATATGTTAATTTATATTTTAATTTGTGTAAAATGATCTCTCCTTTCATCTACTTACATATAACAATTACATCTTTAGTTTTTTGTTCGTGTTTTACCTTTAGTTTTTGTTTTGCATGCTCTACTTTTAGTTTGCTCTTTAGTCTTTTGTATTTAGTGCCTTTTTTATTTTTTGATATGTTCATTTTTTGAATCAATCTTTCTACTTCCGAATATAGGGCAAATCTTAGTATTTTACTGAGTTGTTATTGTTGTTGATAGTATGAATGATTTTTTAATATGAATGATTTCAAGCTTTTTTCCGTAGTCTGGAAGAGGTATTTATAGTTGCGAGGTAAGTCATAAGTAAACTATTCCACATTGCTTCTCATATTTTAAATTCTAAAATGACCTTGACTTTTGTTGTGTGTTACTTGGTTATTTTCTTTGACGAATCAATTGACGGAGCCCTTTTACTCCCTGACGTGGAATTTCCAAAAAGTTCATGGGTATTTTGTATATTTTTTAGTGCATAGAGGTAAATTGTGCAATTTATGAAAAATTCGGGGTGTAAACGATGCATTTTTAATGTTTAAGGGTAAACCATACAATTTCCAAAGAATTTGGGGATGAATGGTGCACGTTTTTTTCTTTGATAAAGTCATATTCCCTACGGTCCAAAAACTCATTCCCTTTCTTTTTTTATTTGTCCCACAAAATCATTTTCAATTCTATTAAAAACCATTTTAGTCTTATTAATTATTAACTTACCTATCACATCATACATTTTTACTTATAATCTACACATCATATTTTAAATTACCCATTACATTAAGGATATTTTTAAAAAGTCAACACAAAAATATCTTTCTCTTAGATTTTCTAAAAATCAAAATGGAAACATTTTTTTTTGGAATGGAATAAGTACTTATCAACAAATGTACACCACCTCCATTATCACTCATTTTTATTTATTCATTTCTTAATATACAATTATGGAGGAGGTAGTGTACATTTGGTGTACAATTTCGATGTAACTCTAATTTTTGAATAATGCTATTTGTGTCCCAAGAATTTGTACCCCATTTTGTACATTGCAGGGATGTACCAACATTTTGTGTTGGTGTAATTCTAATTTTTGTTAACGCACCAACACTTTGTGTCAGTGTAAATTTTTGTTAATGCACCAACACTGTGTGATTATGAACAATCAAAATGTTGGTGCATATCTTCGGTGTACAAATCAGGTATAAATTTTTGGGTACATGTTCCCTAACTTTTTTGTTAAAACTTTAAAGGAAATAGATCTGATAACGAGTTATGCCCAGAATCATAATAACGTTTCTCGTTCTAGAGTCCATCGCCAGAGCACTGAACACACGGGCGGCGAAGGCCGCCGACAAGGGCTAACAGGTGCGTTCGCTTCTCTCTTCTCTTCGTCTCCAAGTCGCCACTACTTTGGCTTCCCTCCGCTGCGCCGCCTCCAGGGCTCCCAACCGCGATTGCTCCGCTTTCTGGGCGTCCATACGCCAGCTCAAAGGACAATCAGGTACGCCGCTACTGGAGGCTCTTCTCCAGTTCCCTATTTTGTTTTACTTTTATATGAAGTAAGTTTGAATGAAATTGTAAATTTGAAGTGGAATTGTTACGTGCTTAATTTGAGATTCTACAATCTTTTTTTCTTTTCTCTGTACGAAGTAATTAAAATCCAGTGTGTTTGGGTGTTTTTGATATGTATTTGATTCTAAAGTTGTTTTCCAGTTTTAATATCTACAAAACAGAACTTTAGAATGGAATTAGTTCAATTTAGTTGAAAGAAAATTAAATTTAGATTTTGTTTGAATTTTATTTGGAAGATTATATGAGTATTTTGAAATCAATCAAAAATAAAAAAAATACAAATAAGGTTTTCGAGATCGGAATTGGTATTGGAGTTTTGTGGAGCTTTGGTAAATCTTTGATATTCGATTTATGTAAATTGTTGTACCATAACAACAAACCCAGTGAAATCCCACAAAAGGTAGGGTCTGTGGAGGGATTTATGTAAACTGCTGTCTGAAATTATATTAGAATTTTGTGAAATCGGAGAAGCGTGATTTTAGTGATCTTTAAATTTGTTATGGAGTATTATTGCTCTATGTTCTGTTAATAATTTGGGAAATTGGACTATCTATCTACATTTAGAGGGTTGTGACACTTATATGCTGAACTATTGTTTAAGATAACAATGGAACAACCTTTTGGGGTAATTATTAAGAGCATACCATTATCGAGTTACAACCACTTTAAGTCGCTGAATATATATTGTGGACAAAATTTATGGACGTGCAAGTTTGTCAAACTTGAGATTCTACATAGGATCGATGTACGTAGTAAAAGTCGTAAATCGTAAGGGCATAATAGTCAAAACAAAAACCAGAGGGGTAGAACAAAGGTACAATTTGTGTATTTGTGTGTGTTAACCAAGAATAACCACAAAGCAGACGGGCATAACTCACACTGAAAAAGTGGAAGTGCGTTAGATAACTTATACACCAAGGAGTAGACGAAACCTACGAGTCGCTCAGGGTGAATTTTTGATTGCAGGATTATTAAAAACTGAGGACTTGTCGCATGTCTCTTAAATTTTTGACATGCTATGGATTCTATAAAACAATTAATTTACAAATAGTTCATCTTACCAAATACTTTTTAAGAAACTACTAACACAAACACCCAACATCTAAATGTTCGACAAAGTGTGCAACTCTAGAGGGGGGTGAATAGAGTTGTTGTCAAAGCATTTTTCACGTGTGTGATATATTAAGAAATTAAACACAGAAATAAAGTAAAGATTAGAGAGGAAGAAGAACACCGCAATGTACACTCGTTCACCACCTCGTGACTAATCCAGTCCTCTGAGAGATTCTCTCAAAGGTCCTACTAACTTGTAAGCTTCAACGGGTGCTTGAAAAATCTTTTACAACTTGAGGCGTGAATCTCACAAGCCTCAACACTTTACAACAAGACTTGCGTCACACAAGCCCTAGCAACCACAAATTTAGAGAAGTAACTTCAAGTTTGCAAGAACACAACAACACAAGAATGCAAGGCTCACACAATGAGCAAGTAGTGTTTAAAGATGTAAGCTCTATTGGATGACAAAGTATTTGCACTCAAGAAAATATTTCTATGCTCTCAAAAATATTTATCTAAGAAGATTGGTAGAGCAAGAGATATAGAATCAAAGAGGGGTTAGAGTGCTTAGAATTAATATTGAATAAGGTAGATGAGGGTTTATAAAGGGCTCAAAGGAATATGTCCGTTACACCAAGAGAAAGGACGTTGTTGATGAAAGAATGGATTAAAAATCAATCTTACAAGCTCAAAAACTCAATTTTGAGTTACTGGAAAATCAAGCTTGGGCAAAGCGCAAGATGAAAATCGATTTTCACTAGAGCAAAAATCGATTTTGAGCTACTGGGAGTGAGGCAAGATTAAAAAATCGATTTTCATAAATACGAAAATCAATTTCCGGAACCTGGTTTCAAACCGTTGCGTTCCAGGCTCAGAAAATCAATTTTTATAAATAGAAAATCGATTTCTGTAGCAAATCATGCACACACAGGAAAAACAAGAGCATGTGCACGGGAATAAGGTATATTTATCATTTTATGCTTGTTTCCCACATGATAATGTAGTGATTTGATGCTCCAATTACCTCAATTATGTTAATATTCAAATTTTGAATATTAAAAGTAATTGGGTGTAGAAAATGAGTCCCAAAAGTATTGTGTGTCAAACGATGTACAAGAAAAATATTTTAAAAGATATTTTTCTTTACCAAAAAAATGTATATCCAAAACAAATGTTTTAAGAAAATATGACACACATTTTGTAACTGACTCAATAAAGATATGTTTTGACACAGAAAAATTTATTTTTCAACCGACTCTAAAAGTAACTTAATTTTTATATACCCTCAAAAAATAATATTTGTTTGAGTGAAAGATATTTTGTCATCTTTACGTTTATTCCTAACTCAATGAAATAAAAAGTTTTAAAGGAATCTTCACTTCATATTTGCGTAGGGATTCTTCGTAAATAAACAATTTTATTTCTTGATACGCCTCTTTGCTTTCTTTAATTCAAAGTAAAATTACATTTGTTGTTGTGTTTGTCATTTATCAACAAAACCTGAAAAATAACATCAAAAATATGTACAAAGGGGTTTGAACTCATGTCCAACACTAAATGTTGTGAGTAGACATTATATAGGTGGAAGGCAAGTTTGATAGTTGAGGAAAAAGGAGTATGCCATGTATTGAGGGATTGATCATAACATTTTACAGATTAAAAAGCATTGATGGAGTATGTAGTTATTAGTTTTATTTAGAGCTGGCAAATCGGTCGGTCAGGTCGGGTTCGGGTTGGGGTTCGGTCACTTCGAGTTTGGGTTATTTCAGGTTGGGGTTGAAAACTGAATGTTCATGATCCAGTGTCATCGGGTTCGGGTCGACCCAACGGGTTATGACTTTGGTTTTTAAAATTTTTAAATTCACATTAAAACTTATTTTTTGTATTAAATGAATTTAAAATATCAAAAAATATGCATTAAGCCTATTAGATTATTTTATTTTAAATTTTAAAGTAATTTTTAGATATATAAATCAATATAAGGAATTTCAAAAAGCTTAAGTTTTAGAAAAAAAGTAAGATAATTATGCAATATCATTAAAATTTTGTTTGAAAATATAAATTTATGCAGTCGGTCAGATCGGGTTCGGTCGGGTTTGACCCATTTTTAGTGGGTCATTTCGGGTTCGATCAACAAAACCTTTGTTCAAAACCCAGCAGGTCGGGTTTTGGGTCAAAACGTTTTATTGTAGAGTTCATATGCATGGAACTTAAAACCTAATTATCAGCTATTTTGATTTCTGTCCTTTTTGATAATAAATAACCAGGAACTTATGAATAATAAATCAATGCTAAACTATCAATTTTGCAACTGAAAATCACAGCATTCACAAGCTTCAAACAGAAAGAGGGGTGATAAAGGAGTGTTTTCAGAGTATTTATATTTCAATTAGTATTATATTATGGTTATTGATTAAATTTGAAATAACATGAATGATATGAATGCACTTAAATTTATTAATTCATATTTAAGTTGTAATGTAGTTAATATATTTATAAAAAAACAATGACTAAAGTTAGAGAGAAGTATTTTTTTAATTTTAGTTGGGGAAAGGGGAGGGGGAACCATCAAGCTATTCCCACACCATCCTAGAGAAGTATTTTTTTAATTTTATAAAACAATTAATTTACAAATAGTTCATCTTACCAAATACTTTTTTTTCCAAAAACAACTAACACAAACATCCAACATCTAATTGTGGTAAGTTGACATTATATAGATGGAAGGAAATTTTGATAGTTGAGAAAAAGGAGTATTCCATGTATTGAGGGTTTGATGATAACACTTAACAGAATAAAAAGTATTGATGGAGTATGCAATTACTATTTTTAATGTTGGGTTCATATGCATAGAAATTAAAACTTAATTATCAGCTTTCCTATGTTGTTCTGGTCAAGGGTTCAAGAACACAAAAAATGGCATCGCCATCAAGGGATCAAGTTCTCTGTCTCTTCCGGTCACTGCTAAGGGCGGCACGTGACTTTCCAGACTACAACATGCGTGAATACACTAAGCGCCGGACCATTGACTCCTTTCGGCAACACAAAGCCCTCTCAGACTCTTCTCAAGTCGCCGCAGCCTTCTCTGATGGCAAGGCACAGCTCGAGATTGCCAAACGCCAGGCCCTTGTCTATGGTCTCTATGCCCCCAAGATGAAGAGTGTTATGGAACTAAACCGCTGACTCTGAGTATGATTTCTTTTTTTCCCTTTTGTTATTATGGGTTCTTATCCTTGTTTCAGCATTTGAAATAAGTTGGGTTCTTATGATTTTTGATACATATTTATTGATCCCGGGTTAATTTGCTCTTTTATTTGCTGTAGTTGGAACAAATTTTAGGTCTTCATATTATTCAGAGTTGTGTTTGTACTTCCTGTGAGTTGTGCAAATAATATTACTCTCAAGAAGGCTCATTACCTTTCATGTGTTTTCTATTCTACTCATTTGCCTTCAAAAGAACGTTCATTCTAAAGTGAGAGTTGCTCATTTTTCTTTTGAAGAATGTTCATACATAAATGTTGGATGTACTGGATGCGCTAAATACCTAGTGCTTTGACGCCTATGAGTTGTGTTTTTCTTAAATGGAACAAAACAACATTCTTTTTTTTGGTGTAAACGAAAGCCACTAAGCTGTCTTTACTGTAAATATCTGTTTGCCAATAACTTGGCCATGTTCATTTGAATGTTAATTGCCAATAACTTAGCCATGTTCATTTGGAAGATGTTTATTCGGTAAAATGGAAGCGGCATTCATTTTGGATTTCAAATGTTCATTTGGATGTTAATTTTGCTGCATTACTTGCAGGCACTTCATTTTGGCGTAGCTGAGGGTTCATTTCCAAAATGATGTGATGAAACCCTACTTTCCCTTAAGATCTATCTGCACTTTTTCCCCATATGTTCATGTGATATTTCTACCTGCATTATTTCCATTCAAATCCCAATACATTGTCCACAATCATTATCAATGAATTGCCACTGTATGGTAGAAATTTTTTTTTATGTACATCACTCGGTGTACCCCATGTCGTACACCGTCCAATATTTTTGTACACATCGACAAAAACATGGTTTTACAATGTTCTTGAGAGTGATGAAAGACATTGCACAAACAACTTTTGTCGATATGGAAACATAAAAGCTTGCGGCAAACACTTTTCTGAATCGAAATTGATATGGAAATAAATGCGCTCTTCCTCCAAAGAAAGAGGTGGGTTTGATATTCTTCTATATACTTTGCGTGTTTGATACTCTTGTATATCCTTACTAGGGGTGGACACGATTCTAAATCGAAATCAATAATGAAAATGTGCCGGCTGGATGGCGACAGAGTATTACACCAGGATCAGTCGCGGGTTATTGTTACGGTTCCGGTTTTAATATTTTGGAATAGAAATCAGCAATTCTGGTTCCGGTTTCATTTTTTTAATAGTTTGATTCACAACTTTTTCTTGTACAATTCTCTTGCATAAATCAACAAATGAGTGATGAAGGCACTATACATTTTTCTTAAAAAAAGAAGAATAAAATTAGAACCGCTTCCCTTTCTCGATTCCGCTCCCGGGGCAGGGTACCACCAGTCCCGGAATCGGAATCGGCCTTGTACAACCTAAATCCTTGCAACATAACTACATAAGAGAACCTTGACTAGACTATGTACTTAAGAGTTGTGAACGAGCCCACTAGCTTTAAGTTTTAAATCGAATGCAATATTGTGTTCGTTGTCCTACACTATCCCATAGTTTAGGATTGCCTGGTAAGAGCCTAACACTATATTTTGTTCAAGAAATTTGAGGGGGAAATAAAAAAATGAGATGGAAAATAGTTTTTTACTTCAGGTTGGAAAGGAAAAGAAAAGTGAATGAAAAATAAAATTAGAAGAAAAAATAAGCCAAAAGGACAAAATAATTAATTCTCCTTTCATTTCAGTGAGGAAATAGAAATCTTTTTTTTCTTCTTTTTCTTATAAATACCATGAAACGAACATAACGTAAGGGAAATAAACATTTATTGATCCTTGAACCAAACATATTAGAAATTCAAGTTAGTGAATGTCATCCTCTTGTGATAGCCAAGAGGCATATTACACCAGTACCTCCATTATTTTATAAATATACATCGCTACATCCTCTACTTTCTAAAATGTTTTTTTTTGTGCAAGAGTATTTTTTTATGTTTTTAAATTTGGATGGACAATAACACCTGTTTGGCACTCCTATTGTATTTAACCTAGCATTTCATTGAGAACTACATTGCTTTGAAGAGAAAATAAAAAGAAAAAAATGATTTAAAAAATGTGAAAACTCTAATGACTAAAGCTGATTTAAAATATATGATATGATGAATATATTGGTAAAAAACAAATCAATTTTTAAAAAAATTCTATTTAGCCGTCTATAAGGGGCATTGGTGTGTGATTTTGAAACTAGGATAGAGAAAGAAGTTTTGAAAGCAGAAAAGATAAATGGCCATATTTACAAGGGAAAAAATATGCATCAAATATTAGAAAGAGTCCAAAGAAAATGTGAACAAATATTATACAGCAGTAGTTGAATGAATCAGAAAACAAAACATTGAGAAATCAAGAAGGTTAAATTCCCATGCAGCATAACAATATAAGCGTGGCATCACGGGATTAATTAGGTGTGTTCATTGGGGCCTACTTCCCGAGCAGACGACGACCTCGAACGTTGGCATCTTTCACTCTGTAGTTGAGCTCGTCGATGTCATCGTGGAAATGGTCCAGTGCTTTATTCCCCCTGCGAATGCCCACATACATTCTCATCAGCATATATACACATACATGAGGGCAGAGGAGACTGACTACTCAGATAAAGGGATCAATGCAAATCATAGTGTGCAGAGTACATCTGAATGTATACACAAGGGGCATTTTTGTACCTTTTGAATAAAATACTCATTATTTTTCTTTATTCATCATTTAACTTGTGAAAATTGCTCATTTTTCATTTGAAAGAGTATCACACACACACAAGTTAGAGACTCCATCTAATCCAAAATAAATTTCACTTTTTTGTCCATCACAAGATTCACACTTGACCTTTTCCTATTTTTCATGGTAATAAGTACCTCATTTTTATCCCCACTTGATAAATTTCAATCATACACTCTATAGTTCAAAACTATTTTTAAACTGTGAAATAAAACAATCAAATTTATTTCACGACAGATGGGGAAGAAAAATGTGAAATTCATTTTGGATTCAAAAACTGGTTAGAAACATAGTGTTTTCAGGTCGGGTCTTGGATCTAAAACCAACTTGAAGGGTGAAATTTTGTCAGGTCTAATAGCTACTTGAAGGATGAAGGGAAACAACTGAAAGTACCTTTCAATTTCAGAGCCCATGTCAATAGCCATTTCCTTGAGCTCCCCCAAGAGATTACTCAGATCAGAAAGTGCATCATCTTGTTTTGCCTTTTCCACCTGTTTAAATTAAACCCGAGTTTAAGAAATCATATTAACAGCATTATCCAACATCTGCATCGATCTATATGTAATTTGCATACAGAATACCATCTCAACAAGCACTATGACATCAGTCACGCTCAACATTAGCAAAAGAAAAAAAAACAATGGCCATGCCAAACATGGGAATAGGACATCATAAGGACTAAGTAGCATGAGAGCTGCAAAAGCTGAAACAACTTAATAAAAGATGTTGGACATGAAGTTTTTGAAAAGCGTTCATCACTTGAGTCATCATGATGCCATAATTGGAATTTTCCTATTAATAAGGCACATTGTACAAATCTGAATAAGAAGAAATATTCTAAGAGTATTTCGACTTCTTTCGCATGGTATTAGAGCCATTTATAGTTTTCGGCGTGAATATATTGTTTTGGCGTGTATAGTGTCTTTTCCGGAATTTGATTAAGAAAACTACTCCCACATGGAGCAACAGATCAAGGATGAATTAAAAAATGATAAATATTCTAAGACGCTATGTTTGGTTTGAGGAATTAGGAAGGGAAGGAAAAGAAAAACGGTTTCTCTCCTTTTCTTCACCAAAATGAATGGAAATTTGTTTTCCTTCTTTGTGTAGTTTTGCCTCCCATTTTTTCTTTTCCTTCCACTTTTTTATTCTTCTATCAGTTTCTTTTCTTTTCTCTATCAAAATTCTTGAACCAAACATAATGTAAAGGAATAGCAACAACAAAAATTCACAAAATAAAGCCATATCATAAAGCAACAAACGGTTACCTCTACTTTCTGCAATGCATTAGTTGGTTCAGGGAGGGATGGTTGAGTTTTTGAGTGCCCCCTGGGAGCAGAATTTAATCCCAGTTTCTCTCTCTGATCCAAGTGATTTCCTTTCCTATATACTGCATCATCTACAAAACCCCAAAAGATAGTCACCAATTAGCACATAAACCCGTCTCTGCCCATCCTCATAAAAAACCTACTTTTACACCCCAAAAGAGGCAATCCCATTTAGTGCATCCATAATTTCATTCTTTTGTAAAGTAGATTAGAGAGAACTAACCTCTAGTGATAATAGGGCCTGTTATTGGATGATTCTTCTTAGGTTTCCAAGTTTTGGAAAATAAGCCTCCAAGACTACCCAAAAGTTTTTCACCCTAAATAAATATCAAGCTTCAGTCAGCTATCAAATAGTAAGAACGATATTCCATTAAGAAAATAATTCAGGGAACCATATCAAAAGATGGTATAAATAATGCAAGCCTTGAGAACAGATGTATACACAATTAAATCCAGCATATCATTTCAGTGAACATGAATTAGATCATTTTATGCAATCTACTCTATGAAGCTGAGCAACTCCATTTATGGTAACAATCAAACACTGAATAAAAGCAGCCTTTTTAATGCATAGATAATTTTCTTTGATAAGGAAATAAAATAAGAAACTAACTTTATATCCGTTCAATAGTTCACCTTGGCCCATCCACTAGTCTAACACTCAAAGAAACAATGGCTATAAAAAATCAAAGAAACAAGCATTGATAGTAATAGCAGGAGAACCTTTATCAACTTTCACTCCTTAAAGTTATAACAGTAATCTTAGAGAATTCAATTTTACATCTAGAATGGAAAAAACATCAAAACATCCTACTTTGAACCATCACAAACCAAAGGAAGAAACAGAGGGAACAAAATTGGCATAGGCTGGTTAGAATGAAAGACCCTTTAAAAAATCGATCAAATATCCAGACACATCACAGTAAAAGCATGGATTGAGTATATAGAACTATACCCTGCTAAGATCATTGTCAATTTCAGCAGCAGTCATGTGAGTTCTAGTAATTTGCTCGCCCTGCTGGTGTAGGGTGATTAAGGTTTTAGTTGCATCCCCCCTCATTTCTTCTGCAATCTTCAAGCAACCATGAACGGCTTTTGTAGTTTCTTCTGCCTTGTACACAGCATAGTTTTCCAATTCTTGTACAGACTGACTCTCGAATCCTCCCGAGTCACGAAAACCATTTTTGTACCTGTTTCTGTCAGTTGATGTATAGGAGTATGCAGATGATGGTTTCCCTTTAGTCTCATCAGAATCATCATCAAAAGGGTTAGTACTCAAGTTTGCGGCAATAATAGCAGGCTCTGAAGAACTTCTTGGGGGTTTGACATTTTGCTTTGGATCGTTCTCATCATCAGAGTCGAATGGGTTTGAAGTAGGAGGTGTGGAAAATCCATGATCAACTGATTGGTTCTTAGAAATCCTGTGCAAAGGGGACTTCTTGAGACCAAACATTTTGTCGTGGAATGGAAAAATTCAGGAAGTCGGAAATTACTGCTACTGCCACCGAAGAGTCTAGATCTGTATAAAGCACACAAACTAACAAGATCAAACTCAGATCATCAAAGGAAAGCTGGCAGGAGAAGCATAAGCAAAAAGAGTCAAGGAATTTGAAGAATTAAGGTCTGTTTGGATGGGGGTAGGAGGGGATTAATAAATGGAAGGGTAAAAACACTGTATGAACATCAAAGTTATTGGAAGCATACAAGAACCCTAAATTACCAGTTCAAATTAGACCACAACCCCCTTCCATAAAAGGAAAGCAAAAGCCCAAGAAGCTAACATACCAACTCTTAAAAAAGTGGACTCATTGGCTAAATAAGGTAATCAACAAAAAAACCCATTGCAAAAACAAGAGAACCTTCAACAAAATACTTCAAAACACATCCATAGATGCATGAAAATTTAGCTACACAGAAAAGAACTAAACAAATCAGACACAGTATTGATGCCAGATCAGGCAAATATAGCATTAACAAATCAGGAAAGTAAACATAAAGAATCCTATGAGAGTAACCCAGACTTTGTGCTGCTTACCAAGAAAACCAATTAATTAACACAACGAAATGCCCAAAATCTTGAGATGGAGAAAATCTAGAAAGAGTTTGAATGGCCGGACTGAGGGCACGGAATTCCCATATTATTTATACTACAATGGCTGGATGATCGTCAAGGGAAACGAGTCAAGAGAACTAGTAGGTGAATGCCCGTAATTGTTTGAGGGCTTTGAATTTATCAAGATAAGAAGAAGAAAGAAATATGGGAAAATGCTAGGAGGATATTGGGAAAGTTGAAAAAATCAAAAACAAGTAGAAGAGGGGCGCGTGAAGGGGAGAAGACTTTTGAATTTAAAGACCCTTCTGACGGAAATTAGACCGTTCCATGTGGGGCCTATACAAAGAATCATATTTCCTCTCAATTTATCTATTTTTAATATGATTAGAATAAATTCTAATCTGATTGTAATTATATTTAAAGTTATTTTTAATTTAATCTAATTTGAATAAGAATAAATTAGACATAGAATTTATCCTCAAAGTAAAAAGTTTTATCCTTTTTTGAAATGGAAGTTTGTAATGTAACACTATGACATTGTATAGTGACATTTCACTGTGTTTTTTGGTATGATATACTAACATTATTGACAAAAAATTACTTCAGCTTCTCTCGATTTATGATAATAACTCTCATGTCCCACATTATCTGAAATATACTTCAGAGTATCCTCGATTTTCTGGTAAGAACTTTCAAATCTCACATAATCTAAAATATACTCTAGGATCCTTAAAGTTTGTGATATTATACTCAGAAGGCACATTCTCTCAACTCAGGCGTCAAATTAAAATTTCTTTTATTTTGACTAATTGAAGAATTTTATTTAAATTTAATGAAATAATTATTATCAATGTAAAATTTAGTATTTATCAAAGTAAAAGAACTTTCAATCATAACGACTAAATATTTAAATTGTACCCTCGAAGTACATTACCACATATTTTAAGGACCCCGAAATATATTTTGGATAATATAGAAGCTGAGAGTTCTTACTAGAAAATCAAGGGTACCCCAGAGTATATTTAAGATAATGTGGGACTTGGAAGTTATTACTAGAAAACCAAGGGTAGCCCAGAATAATATTTTGCATTATTGACATTGTAACTTCTATTTTGAGGATAAAAAGTATGCAACTCCTATTTTACTACTTTCTCCATGTCTTACTTATAATTTAGTCCATTTTCCCAAAAATTTTATAAACAACCCCTTATCGTAACTAGGCCTGGACACGGTACCGGTACAGTACCGTTACCGGCGACGGTACCACCGGTACCAGCCACCGCCGCCGTCCACCCTCGCGTCACCCGGTTCTGGGAACCGGTACCGGTATCGCCCCACTTGGTACCAGTTCCGGTGCTAGTATTTCGGTACCGGCACCGGTTCCGGTACCTATTTTAATTTTTTTTGGCTTTTCCTCAACTGTGGGCCACCTGCAAGTGCAAACATGCAAAAAGAGAAAAACAAACAATAGTGAAAGGGGTCCCCTCAAACGGCTATAATGTCGTTGAGGGGAGGGGGGCTTCTCTACACTATCCCTAAATACACAAATTTTTTTAAAAAAATCACACCATTCTCATTTTCTCTTAATCCTTTCTAATTCTCTTAATTCTCAATTCATATTATCTCTCTATACATTTTATATTTATATAATAATATAAATATATATTAATATATTATATAATATATAAATATATATACTCATATAATATTAAATTTTTAGTTATACATTCATTATTCATATAAATATATAATCATATAATCATATTCTCATACATTAATTTGTTATAAATTAATATTATAATTTTGAAATTCAATATATAATTAATATTATAAATATTTAATATAGTCCTTTTTATAAAAAATATATATATTAAAATGTCGAGAGAGTTCGGTAGAAGGTCTGTGGATATGGGCGCCGTGAATTGAAGTTCAAGGAGAGGAAAAGCTAAAGCCACCTCCGACGGTTCGACCTCACGCGGACGCGGTTCTCAAGGAAGACACTTCGTCTCTTCCTTCCCTAGTATCCCCGATCAATTCGTGGGCGACGCTTTGACAGATCAAGAATTCGACCATTATATGTCAGGTAGAGGCGAGCCAATCTCGAAACTCTTGAAAGTTTATTCGAGGACATTGATGAAGCAAGAATGGACGTGGAGCCTACACTGCACAGCAACAATCCTACCGACGTCGACGAGGAGGCAGGTGAGCCCAAGACCTCTCAAGGTCCGGACAAAGGTAAAAAAATTTAAATCAAATTTATTTGTTTATCATTTTTCAAAAGAAACAAAAGATGTCATAGTTTTTGGAACTTGTAATTATTGTGCCACCATCATTAAAATGGGAGTTTCCGGCGGTTATGGTTGTCCGGAAAAACACCTAAGGTCGAGGCATCACGTGGAGTACGCCAAATACACGGCGAAAAAGAAGGGACGACAAGAAGTGCAAACCCAAATTTCTCGGTTTGCTAACAGGGGTAAGGGCGACCTTTTTCTTATAGCGACGAGCAAAATAAGCAAAAAATGGCTGAAATGATTTGTGAAGAAAATTTGCCATACATGTTTTCTGAATAAACTTGGATTTATTGATTATTGTAAAGAGGCATTAAACCCTCAAGCAAGAGGTTTTTCAAGAAAAACAAGTAAGCGAGAAATTATTCGACAGTATAAAGTTGAAAAAATCAATTTGGCAAATTTTTTTCTCAATTTTAATTCTCGTGTTACTATTTGTTCTGATATTTGGGGTGAAACATATCATAATTTGTCTCATATGGGTGTTACTTGTCATTGGATAGATAGTGATTGGATAATGCATAATCGTGTTCTTGCATTTCGTGATTTCAATGATTCTCATACTGCTGAAAATATTTTTCTATTACTTCAGCATATTCTGCGGGAATACAACTTAGTTGATAAAGTGTTTGCATTTGGTTTTGATAATGCTACTAATAATACTGCTGTTATTCCTAGACTTAAATGTGTGTTTGTCATGTTTTAAATTTATGTGTTCAACAGAGATTAGAAGCTATGAGGGGTTTACGAATATTAAAAATGGAATTAGAAGTATTTGGGGTAGTCGTCTTCATTCGAATTCCTAGAAGACATTCTGTAAGTCTAAGGGTAGAAGAGCAATAATATTTGCCAAAGATATCACCATTAGATGGAATAGTAGATACAAGTTGATAACACAGATTCTAAGCTACAAAGAGGAAGTTGCTAAATTTTTTAGGGATGAACTTCTTTTAATGATTTCACCTAATGAATTTGTTATTGTTGAAAAATTGAATGCCGTATTAGAAGTTCTTAATAATGCAACTCTTACTTTTTCGCATGTTTACCAACCAACTATAAATAGATTTTTTAAAGAGTGCGATACAATCGCAACATGTTTTCGTGAAAGTTTGGCTGATCGAGATTTGTACTCTTATGTCTCTCCTATGAAAGATAAATGGTGTGCTTATTATTTGTACATTCCTGATATTTATAAAATAGGTATTATTTGTGATCCACGCTTTAAGATTGAAAATTATAAAATTCTAATTGACTATTACTACAGTTGTTTTTTAAATGAAAATAATTATTACTACACCCATTTAATTGAATGCGAAAAAGAAAGAGATAATGCTATTACTCTTTTTGACGCTTTATTTAAGGAATTTCAAGGGATATACGATAATGTGCCGATAAAAATAGCACATCCTCCGCCCCCCAAATCAAAAAAAGGTTTTAAAGGAATAGTCGGTGGGCTTCTTGCAAAGAAAGGGAAGCATGCTCAACCTTCGACGAGTTCAGGTGGTACAACTATAAGCTCGCACAACGAACTTTCTATGTACCAAGGGGTGCCATGCGATTACGACGACGATGACGACGTGGAGTTTAACGTCCTCGGATGGTGGAAGCGGAACGAACACATGTTCCCATGTCTCGGAATGCTAGCAAGACAAGTTTTATCCGTCCCGGTATCAACCATAGTAGTAGAACAACAATTTAGTGCTAGTGGCAACATTCTAACTGACTTTCGAAGTTGTCTTAGCGCTGAATCTCTTGAAACACTTGTTTGCAACCGAGATTGGCTCTTGGCAAGTCGTCGAGCTCAAGAGTCAGGATATGATTTCAATTCCGATCATTACATGAATGCAACCACAGATGGAAGCCCAAGTTCTGAGGAATAAGTTATAAGCTTTTTTTTATGTTAAAGCTCCTTCGAGGGTTTCTTTACGGTTCTTTAGTTCGTCGCTTTTTTTGAACCGTCGGGATATTAAATGTAGTTGTTCTTCAGTTCGTGTATTACTCATTTTACAATATTTAAATAACAACTACTCCCTCCGTCCCGCTATATTCGTCCACTTTTGACTTTTGGAAATGTTCATCTAAGCACTTTGAGTCATCAAATTCTCTCAATGTGTAAGCCTAAATATAATCATGCGTGATCTTGTTTGATTTGTCTTAACATATAGATTATTAATATATAATTTCTATAATTTTTTAATATACAAATTACAAGATAAAATGGATTAAAGAAGTGTATTGGATGGTGTGCAAAAATGAAAGTGGACAAATATAGTGGGACGGAGGAAGTACATTTTTAGATTTTTTTTATTTCATTCTTTCCTTTAACAATTGCACATTTACAATTTTACACTTTAATTTTTTTTAAAAAAAAAGCAAAAAAAATTGGGGGTGGCCGAAACTGACTAGTCCGGTACCGGAACCGCCGGTCTGGGTACCGGAACCGGCACCGTCTGGTCCGGTCACGGTACCGGTACCAAGGGGTGGCGGTACCGGAACCGGCGGTTCCAGAACTGGAACCGTCCCGAGTCCACCCATAATCGTAACATTCTAACCTGCGTGACTCGAACCAACAAGTAAGCGAATTGCATTACTACTAATTTGGTATTCACATGTACAATATTTTGGAAAAGACTAAAGTAGTAGTAAAATATTGAAAATATACCAAAATAGGAGTTCTATTTTTTTATTCTCAAAAGAGAAGTTAGAATGCATATATAGTACCAATCATGAACATATACATGGCCAAAAAATACTGTGAAATATTTATATACAATGCCACATTACTACAGGGTAAACTTTTATTTTGGAGATAAAAATAGAGATATCTTATTTTGGTACTTTGTCTATTTTTCAGTCCTTTATAGGATGATTTCTATAACAATAAGTTATAAGAATAAGTTGAAGAAACAAGCTCTTACTCCCCCATCTAGAAAATAGTTCCATTATACTTTACGATGTTTAATTAAAATTATCTTTAATTTAATTTATCTCAAAATTTGTATAGAAAAAATATAGAAATTACATATTTAAAAACTACATCATAATACTTACAAAACAAAAGTTGACATGACTATATTATTTTATCAAATGAGCAACAAGAATTGATAAAAAAGAAATTGGGATTAAGCTATTTGTACACAAAATATGTACCCCATTTTGAACCCTAAAGGCATGTACCGAAATTTTGTGCAAATATGATGATTTACATTGGTAAAAAATTCAGTGCAATTTTTTTAAATTAAACTAATATTTCCTACCCGTGTGAACCGTTAAAATATCGGTGCATTTGTATGAAGTACACTTTTGGTGTACCCAACTTATTTTTCGGAAAGAGAGAGTATGTCATTACTATCATGTCAAAAAAAATTAAGAAATCATCCTCCACATAACATATTAATTTTTCTTCAAATAAGATTTACATGTTTTTATTCACGAAATAAGAGTTTATACTCTGACATCATGACACATGCATAGTGGCCTCCTACTATCTTTTTATGGTATTATATACTGGCATTATTGACATTGTTACTCCTATTTTGAAAATAAAAAACATGAATATCTTATTTTGATATTTTTCTTAATGTTTTACTCCTAGTTTAGTCCTTTTCCTAAATATTTTATAAGTGATACCCTATAATAGGTTATTTTCCATATATAATCCTCAATCTTAAAAATTACATTCGTTGTTCTTGATATTTGAGAACTGTTTCATAATTAGTCCTTTCAAAACTATTTACAGAAATAGTATTTAGGTCGAAGGACTGATTTTTGAATAACTTTTAAATATTAGTAATTTCTTAGAATCGTGAATTATATGTGGAAAATTTCATGTTATAAGGTATCATTTTTGAAACTCACTCCAAAATATTACATGCTTTTGTCTCTTCGGTTATTCTCATTTTCATTTTCATAATTTCTAAGGCAATACTTTGATCATTAATATTTTAATTTATATATAAATATATATTATAAAAATATAATATTTCAAAACTATATTTCTAAATGAACATATTCCTGTTTAACTTATATCACAACTCAATTTATTTTTTCATAATTTATGATCAACGCTATAAAATATTGACCAAGGAAAGTCAAATGAGAAAAACATAGAAGAATGGAGTGAGTACTTTGTAAAGCTCTTTTGATGTTATCAATATCATAGAATGATATTTGTATTTATGATGCACCGTTGAGTCCAAAAGCAATATCTACCCCAACATTTCCCTCCCACCTCATTCCAAAATTCTTAAATACTATAGTAACACTAGCATTTTGACATTTCAGAGAGGGACAATGGGGGATTTGGTGGAATTTTGGGAGTTAGGAACTACTTTCAGACCTAATGAAGCATCATGTGTGCTTAATGTCATCTCATAACATTGCCATGAGAACCCCACCAGCCAAAAAATACTCCCTTCTTAAATTAATGTTCTAGAATTGACAGAAATTTATCCTTTGCTACAATTTCTCCATTTTGTGTTAGAGGTCCCTAATTGCATTGTCCTTCTCATAGGCCCCGCAAGCTTGGGGCACTCTCCTCCTAAGGCTTGCTATTTGTCGTCTTCTCCCAGAGACCCCAAACATTCAAATGCCAGGAAACCAAAATGTTATATGCTTCATCTTCACCTTAGGTGTAACACCCCAACCCGCATAACCAGAATGCATGGGTTAGCGAACCGGGTTGCTACCATTCCAGTATCCAAACACCTACTAATTTCAAAACAATTTAAAGCATCCAAATAATTCTTGATTTAAAACCCAACATCGGAGTAAAATGAAATAATGCAGAAGCTTAATAATAAAAGTAGCACAACTTCGGACTCATGCCCGAAAACGTAATGAGCTATTCAGAAATAAATATGGATTCCAAATCCTCGATTAGTTCCACTCACATCTCTTCGTCCTCATTGCCTTCCAGGATCGGCTTTAGGTTCATTATCTACCTGATTACCTGCATGTAGCAAACAAACAACTACATGCTTATCACTGACGCTGAGTGAGAAATATCTAATGTCCAACAAATTCACAGTTCATATCATCATGTGATATCATGCAATCAACATATATATCACACATACAATTCAATTCATATCAGTTACCTGACACTTGTCGTTGTCATTCCCATCAAACTTGTGGACTTATCCCGGTTGGTGGATCACCCAGAACATGTCCCTACTAACTAGACTAGGCTACAGTCTTTCTACTTTACTTGGGAGTCATGATGTTTCCCACTGGATCAGTGGATCATGCTCAACCAACGAAGGTGTTCTTCGTTGGGTGGGTGAAATCCTTACCTGATGGATCCCACCAGAGGATTCTCTGGGTAGACTTACCTTGGTGAGCGCGTTGAATCAACACGCGATACCTGTATACTGTGTGCTCGATCAGCCCACTTGCATTTGAATAACGAGATTTATATATTTATCATAATCAGATATGTGTTGGATCAACACCATGTAGCAGGATTATAACAAACAGCAGTCTAGTCTAGGGTGTTGTCACCCCTTACTTTCCGTCATGCAACACACAAGCCTCGAAATCAATCCTCGAGGAAACAAGATTTACTGTCCGATTCAGGTACCTCACGGTACCCTTAACGATAGGGGGTACCGTCCCCAAGCAGGGGCGGACCCACGTTGAGTCACACGGGGTCAAGCGACCCCACAAAAATTTTAAAATTTTTTACCTATATATATATATATAGGTGTATACTTATAATTAGTATATAATTTACAAAACGCTACACGTTACAACTCGGACACACTGAAGAATTGGAAACCTTCGCGTTTCAGGGTTGTTGACTGTTACGTCCTAGGTTCGATTCCTGATGTAGGCAAACTTTATTTTAAAGGAGGACGCGTTTAAACGGCGTCGTTTCTTGTTTTAAAACGGAAAAACATCAACCAACTTCCAGAATCCAGAGTTGGGATTTTACCTTTGTCGACGTCCCCAATTCCAGCCCCAAGCCCCTATTTTGCCCCAAACTCTCAACCCAATCTGCAATTTTGTCACAGCCGCCTTTGTCGCCAACTTCGGATGGTCGGAGCTCTGCCGCCTACATGCCTGGATCTGGAGACACAACGTTGACACCCCCAATTACTCAATCACATCTTCATCTTCTATTGCCACTTTGTCAGGTTTTTTTTCTTGACATAATTGAATCTAAAGTAGATTTTTCTTTTTTATTTGTGAATTGTTATTATTTTAATTTATTCTTATGAATTTTTCATTGTGAATAGGGAATCGATTTTTATGTTAAAATAATTAGGTTATTTTTTAAGTTTATAATGTTTTTAATTATTTAAATTTTAATATAGGATGCAAATGTATTTTAAAAAGGCACCAAGATTTAAAGAGAATGAATCGAGTGGGAATCCATCAAATTTGAATGCAAATGCTTCTTCATCTTTAAATCATCCATCGGAACCATCAAATTTGAATTCAAATGTCTCGTCATCCTTAAATTATCTTGTGGAACCATCAAATTTGAATTCAAATATTTCATCATCTTTGGACTTTGAATCATTAGAGGCTGATGCGGGGTTAAGAAAGAGAATTACAGATAATCATCCAAATGTGCAAGATGAAATTTGTCGTGCTTATCTGAAAAAGGGGCCTTTCCAACCGCAAACTCATAAGTTTCCCATTACAGTAATGTCATATTATAATCGTAAATTTCTTCCAATTTGGTTTAGAGAGTACCCTTGGATGGAATATAGTATTGCGAAAGATGCTGCATATTGTTTTCCATGTTACTTGTTTAAAAATATCAGTGATGCTGGTGGGGACCATTTTGTGGGAAGTGGATTCAGCGGTTGGAACAAAAAAGATAGGTTTTGTGTTCATGAGTGTGGACCCAATAGCCCACAGTTTATTTCTGTTCAAAAACAATCTGATCAAGTGAAGTTAGATTATCTCACTCAATTGAAAGCGTCAATTAAAGTCACTAGATTTCTTCTAAGTGGGGGACTATCATTCCGTGGACATGATGAATCCATTCGATATGAATATAAAGGGCACTTTCTTGAAACTTTAGATCTCTTGAAAAAGCATGATTTTAACCTAGACAAAGTCATGAGAAATGCTCCCCATAATAACCTTCTAACTTCACCAAAAATTCAAAAAGACATGTTTTGTTTGTGCATTTGAAACAATTTGTGAAATTGTCAAGGAAATTAGGGATGGTGTTTTTGCCATATTAGTTGATGAGTCTGGTGATGGAGCAAATGGTTGTTGTTTTACGTTTTGTTGAATCTACAGGCTCTATAGCAGAGCGCTTTATTGGTGTTGCTCATGTAAAAGAGACAAATGCATTATCTCTTAAAGAATCGCTTGAAACCATTTTGGCGCAAAATGGGTTGTGTACATCACAAATAAGAGGACAAGGTTATGATGGAGCAAGTAATAAGTGAGGTCGATTTGATGGTTTGAAAACTTTGATTCAAAATGAAAATAAGTGTGCATATTATGTTCATTGTTTAGCACATCAACTTCAATTGTCACTTGTTGCTTTTGTGAAAGGGCATATAGAGGTCAATTGGTTGCTTCTTCATGTGACTTGTGTTGTTAATAAAATTAGTTCGTCTAATAAACTGCGAGATATGCTTCAAGATAAACAAATGAGCCATTTAACAGCCATTTTAGAAGAAGGATTATTGAAAACGGGTCGAGGATTGAATCAATAGCTCATGCTTGCACGACCAGGTGATACTTGTTGTGGTTCTCATTACAAAACACTGTTGAATTTGAAGACATTATTTCCTTCTGTGATTGAAGTTCTGGTACATTTGAGGGTTAATGATGCTAACGGGGAGGCAGAATCTTTACTTAAAGATTTGCAAACTTGTGTGTTTTCTTTCATGCTTGATATCATGGTTAATGTCTTAGTAGTTACTCAGGATTTATCTCAAGCACTTTAAAGGCGCAAATAGGATCTCTTAAATGCATTAAAACTTGTTCAAGTTGTGAAATGGCATTTTCAAAGCATGAGAACAAAGGATACGTGGAACAAAATCAATAAAGAAGTCATGGAGTTTTGTAATAAAAATAATATATTTGTGCCTAACATGAATGATCATTATGTGATGCAAAAGAAGCGTGCACAGAATGCTCCAGTTGTTACAATTTGGCATCATTATAATTCGATTGCTTGTTTGAGATAATAGATAGATTTGTCGAGGAGCTTGGAAGCGGGTTTGATGTAGCAAGCATAGAGTTGTTAAATTGTGTTGCATGTTTAAGCCCTTGTTCATCTTTTGAGTCTTTTGACATAGCTACATTATTAAGAATGACTGAATTTTATCCAATGGAGTTTTTAGTAGTTGGCATCAAGACTTTAGAAAACCATCTTGAGAATTACATTTTGGATGTTCGGACTGATGGTAGATTTGCTGCTTTAAATGGGCTTGTTGATTTGTGTATGATAAAGATCTCCACAAAGACGGGTGTGACATATCAACATGTTTACACACTCATAAGGTTAGCTTTGCTTCTACCAGTATGTCACAGCTAATGAGTGTGTAAACATGTTGTTATGTCACAACCTTCTTCGTGGAAATTATTATCATAGACAACTCAACAAGCCCATTCAAAGCAGCAAATCTACTATCAATCCGAACATCCAAAATGTAATTCTCAAGCTGGGTTTCTAAAGTCTTAATGCCAACTTCTGAAAACTCCATTGGATAAAAATTAGTCATTCTTAATAATGTAGCTTTGTCAAAAGACTCAAACGATGAACAAGGACTTAAACATGCAACACAATTTAACAACTCAGTGCTTCCTACATCAAACCCGCTTCCAAGCTCCTCGACAAATCTATCAATTATCTCAAGCAAGCAATCAAATTATAATGATGCAAAATTGTAACAACTGGAGCATTCTGTGCAAGCTTGTTTTGCTTCACATAACGATCATTCATGTTAGGCACAAATATATTATTTTTATTGCAAAACTCCATGACCTATTTGTTGATTTTGTTCCACGTATCCTCTGTTCTCATGCTCTGAAAACGCCATTTCACAACTTGAACAAGTTTTATTGCATTTAAGAGATCATGTTCGCGCCTTTGTAGTGCTTGAGATAATCCTAACTGCTAAGACATTAACCATGATATGAAGCATGAAAGAAAACGCAAAAGTTTGCAAATCTTTAAGTAAAGATTCTCCCTCCCCGCTAGCATCATTATCCCTCAGACTTACCAGAACTTCAATCACACAAGGAAATAATGTTTTCAAATTCAACAATGTTTTGTAATGAGAACCCCAACGAGTATCACATGGTCATGCAAGCACGAGCTGTTGATTCAATCCTCGACCTGTTTTCAATAATCCTTCTTCTGAATTGAAGCAGCTGTTAAATGGCTCATTTGTTTGTCTCGAAGCATATCTCGCCGTTTATTAGACGAACTAATTTCATTAACAACACGAGTCACATGAAGAAGCAACCAATTAATCTCTATATGCCCTTTCACAGAAGCAACAAGTGACAATTGAGCTTGATGAGCTAAACAATGAACATAATATGCACACTTATTTTCATTTTGAATCAAGTTTTTCAAACCACCAAATCGACCTCGCATATTACTTGCTCCATCATAACCTTGTCCTCTTATTTGTGATATACACAACCCATATTGCGCCAAAATGGTTTCAAGCGATTCTTTAAGAGAATGCATTTGTCTCTTTTGCATGAACAATACCAATAAAGCGTTGTACTACAGAGCATGTAGATTCAACAAAACGTAAAACAACAACCATTTGCTCCATCCCTGCAACATCACTAGACTCATCAACTAATATGGCAAAAACATCATGCCTAATTTCCTTGATAATTTCACAAACTCTTTCATGTGCACAAAAAAAAAGTCTTTTTGAATTTTTGGTGAAGTTAGAAGGTTATTATGGAGAGCATTTCTCATGACTTTGTCTAGGTTGGAATCATGATTTTTCAAGAGATCTAAAGTTTCAAGAAAGTGCCCTTTATCTGCATATTCAATGGATTCATCATGTCCACGGAATGATAATCCCCCACTCAGAAGAAATCTAGTGACTTCAATTGACGCTTTCAATCGAGTGAGATAATCATACTTCACTTGATCGGATGAAATTCTAATTTTGTTTTAGTTCCTTTTGCTTTTAAGTCATTTGACTAATTTTTAAATTAATTTTTGTTGAGCATTTGACAAATAACATAATTTTTTATATCTTCTGATGAAGTGTATGATTTATAATTGACATGATTATAACATTTTATTTTTAAAAAAAATATCCATATGCCTAAAAGTTTGTTCGAAAATTTTATAATTTATTAAATCCGAGCCAGATATTAAAAATGTTTACATATACTTATGATAAAATAAAATTTTATTAAAATTTACAAATTCTATTAATTCCAAATTTGGATTCATTAATTCAAAATAATTAATCATCATTTTTTAAAAATATAGTAAAAAAGATTAAATAATTGAAGAAGGAAGGAGAACGAGATGAAATACTAAAGAAGAAAATAAATCTTTAAATATTGACACATGTCATTCTCTAAATATTAACACATGTCACCTTTCAAGTTTGAAACATGTCATTCTCTTAGAGAGCAAATTCTCAAATTTATATATAAAGGAAAGGATATGATCGATATGATATGATATGATTAGGTGTTTAAAAAAGCCAGATAAATATGGCATATGTTAGTTTCTTAGTGATCTAAGTATCATTTTTTATATAAAGAAATGATTCTTTATTTGTCTTAAATTTTTAAGTGGATTATATGAATATTCTTCTATTCTAAATATATATACTATTTGATAAGGTAGTATAATAAAAGGTTTATATATATATATATATATATATATATAGACACACACACACACACATTTGTCTTATAAATATATGTTTTCTTAAATATATACTTAGTGATCTAAGTATCATTTTTATATATAAAGAATTAATTATTCTTTGTTAAATACTATTTGTATTTTAAATATATATATTTTATTTAAATGTATATAATAATAAGTAACTTTTTTATATCAAATACTCTGTATAAATTAAAAAAATATGAAAATTTATAGAGATGGAGAGAATATCTTGTTTATTATAGAAAAGATTTATTTTATATTAAGAGAAATCTTTATTAATTTTAAGTTCAGTAGTTGATATATTTTTAAACAATCATTATATTTATTTTGTATTAAATACGTTTATAATTATAAGTAGATCAAATTATTATCAATAAATGCTAAAAATTTTCAACTTTTATTTTTTTCTTTCCATTTACATTTTTATAAAAATAATGTTCTTTTCTTTTTATCCAATTGACTGGTTGTTTTAATAAATGCTTAAAATTATAATTTTGTTTTAATTTGTTTTGCTTTTAATTCTATTGACTTGTTTTTAAATATTTTTGTCGATCATTTGACAAATAAGATAATTTTTTAGATCTTCTGATGAATTGTATGATTTATAATTGACATGATTACAACATTTTATTTTTTAAAAAATATTCATTTGCCTAAAAGTTTGTTAAAAAAATTTATAATTTATTAAATCTGAGCCCGGTATTAAAAAACTGTTCACGTATACTTGTGATAAAATAAAATTTTATTAGAATTTAGAAATTTTATTAATTCTAAATTTGGATTCATGAATTCAAAATAATTAATTACCATTTTTTAAAACATAGTAAAAAAGATGAAATAATTGAAGAATGAAGTAGAAGAGATGAAATACTAAAAAAATCTTTAAATATTGCCAGATGTCATTCTCTAAATTTTAACACATGTCACTCTCTCAAGTTTGACCCATTTCATTCTCTTAGAGACCAAACTTTCAAATTTATATATAAAGAAAAGGATACTATCATAGTTTTGAAAACCGGACCGGCGACCGAACCGGCCGAGGCACTGGTTCACTGGTTGAACCAGTGGTTTGAGTGGTTGAACCGGCGGTTCGAACATTTTTTAAAAACACTAAATTTACACATATTTCTTACTACAAATCAAACTATTATGTTCCTAGAATATCAAATTCTTGAATATAGTTCCCAAAAAAGTAAGTTTAAGAGTGTTACATGTCACAAACTTACATAACAGAATATCAAAATACAAGTCATCAAACAAGACCAAGCAATGTCTAAAACAAACACTTCAAATGCTAAGATTGTTAAAAAAAGTAGTAAAAAAACTGATGCTGAGATAAAAAAACAAAATACAGTATGAAATATGAATTGTCAAAGGGTGTTTGAATATAGAACATCAATCGGTTAAAACTAGTAAAAAAAATTGAAAACTGTCAAAGGGTGTTTGAAGGGTGTTTGAATATAGAACATTAATCCTAATCTCAACTTAAAACTAGTAAAAAAAAATGACTCCAAGCCGCCACTAATATACTAATTTCGAACATCAAACCCTTCCATTGTCGCCACCAACTAACATAAATATAATACAAAAAAATTAAATATTAATACCTGTGTGGAGATGGAGCCCTATGCGTCGGACATGGAGAGGAAGATGACCGGCGATGGAGAGGGAGAGAATCGGTGGAGAAGAAGAATCGGCAATAGGGTTTTTGACTTGTTCAGTACTTCAGTTCCGTGCTTCAGTGGAGTTCCGTCAATATGGTTTTAAATTTTAGGATTTTAATTTAAAGTTAAAAAAAACCGGAACCGGTAAAAAACAGGCCGGTTCAACCCGGTTCTCACTGGTTCATAGCTTACAACGGTCTAATAGGGCGGACCGGTTTAGGCACCGGTTCGCCGGTTTCCGGTCCGAACCGGCCGGTCCGGTCCGGTTTTCAAAACTATGGATACTATAATTAAATATACTTTTTCTAACGATTTATGGTCAAAGACTGTCCTTGTTAGACTAAAAAATTCAAAATTGAAAAGGTTTTTAGGACCGAAGGGAGTATAACTTAAGTTAATTATTTAAAAATTGTTGTAATAAGTTGTGGAATTGGTGTATGTATACCTTGTAATTAAAAAAAGTACTTTCTATAAAATTAGTAGAATCTAATGTGATGTTGATGTGGATGAGAGAAATGGTATAGTACTTCCTCCGTCCCAAAATATTTGTCACACTTGTTTTTTCAGCAGTCGCGGGAACTTTTGTTTATTTCTATGTTTTCATTGGTTATTTGATCAAATAATATATTCTTGACACCTTTTATTTCGAAGAACTTTTCATGTATTTTTTGATATGTAAATTTTTTTTTATTTCTATACCAATATGTAAATAAGATGAATTGAAAAAGCTTGATATTTTGCATCGGGAATACAAGTGTGACAAATATTTAGGGACGGAGGGAGTAGAAAAAGTTGGAAGAGTATCCATAGTTCCATACCCTCCGCTCATACCCATTGTTTGAATGGTGAGAATTTGGTGAGAAGAAAAACAAAAATCTACTTGGATATGAGTAAAAAAATTATGAAAATACCAAAATAGGAGTTCTAAGTCTTTTAAAACAAAAACAAAAGTATTATGACAGTGTGGTGTATGAGTATGTGTTGGAGTGTGAAAAGTGATGACATTGTAATATATCAGCATGATTAGTCAATCGTCGGCGATTCGCGGCAGCACTTTGGTGGCCGGCGGTGGCGGATGACAGTGTGGCGGTGATAGTGTGGCAGTTACAATGTGACAATATTGTGAGTATGAAAGTGTAACAATGACAGTGTGAACTTCTATTTTTGCCATAAAAAACTTATGACTCCTATTTTAGTATTTTTATAGTTTTTTACTCCTATCTAGGGAGTTCTTCCAAAAAAAATGAGGAAGACAAAACTGAGATCTCAATGTGTTTTTTCATGTTTGAGGAGAGAAAAGAGATAAGGATAGAGGGGAAAAGTTTTCTCCCCTACGCAAGTGAGAAAATGGGAAAAAGGAAAGTAGTATGATTGATTACTTCGTGAAATTTGGATCAAATAATACTTAAATATATGTCTTTTTCCAAAATAATACTTAATCAATTTTATTTCCTAAAAGCATTTGAATAATGTCTAGTGGTGGCAATAATGTTTAGCAATGTTGGGCGTTTAGTTTGAACAATGTCTAGTAGCGGTGTACATTTACTTGAACAATGACCATTGTACATTGAACAATGATACTATATTGGAAAATAAAAACATATGTAAATATATTGCGAAAGTCATTATATTTTAATACTATTTAGGTACATTTTCATTACTTATTTACCATTACAACTACACATTATTATATTATCACACAAAGATAAAATAGTTGTTTTGCATTACTAAGATTTATTTCCACCTATGAGTTCTAATCGAGATTATTTTCCTCAAAGTTTTGATGTCATATGTTTTGGATATATAGTGCTGGCAACTTAACAAGTGTCTCATGCCTTTTGCTCCTCCTCACAGGCTTCGCCTTCTCTCATCAAAGTTAGCGCTCTATTTTCTCAACAAAACGCCCACCTCCCTCTTCTTCTGTCTCATTCTACTCTCTTCCCCCATTTGAATCCCCACCTTCTACACCCTACCCACACATCTTGATCCGATTTCACTCTCTGGGTTTCTTCCATTTCCTGCAAAAATGGCTTCTTTCACTGTCCCCTCCGCCAAAAGCTCCGTCCTTTTCGGCACTGTTTCATCCCAGTCCCACCTCCAGCTCCCCCAGCAGACCTCTGTGTGTTTCTTGACCGCTTCCAGATCCGGACCCGCATTGCTCCCTCTCCATCAGGTGCTTCTTTAGTTTTTCTCCCTTTCAATTTTCCTCTTTCTTGGTTTAATTTTACTTGTGTGAGCTTAATTTTTATTCATCTTTTCTAAAAATTGATTTGTTTTTCTTTTCTGTTTTGGTCTTCTCTAGGTTGTTTTGAAAGTTTCTGCGCAGCTCAATGAAGTAAGTTTACTTATGTAGTTCTTTGAATTCATGTACTGCTCTTTATGTGAAGCATTTCTGCCCTCTATTTGACCTCTTGGACCTGTTTCTTTGCTACTGAGCTTGTATCCTCATATAGACTTCTTTAGGATTTGTTTTGAGGATCAAATCACTCTAAAAGGTTGAATCCTTAGTTCAACCCAAGATCTTATTAACCTATCTTTGTTTTTTAAATAATTTGATGTCGGACTCTAAGTCTCTAACAAGGTGTAAATTATTTTTTCCCGGACAAGAGAACCAGAAATTGTGTGTACACACTTTTAAAGTGTTTTTAATCTTTTAGTCCAGAGAACTAAGTTTGTTATTCTTTTGGAATGCTAACCATAAGGGTGGTGCTGTTGAGAAATCCGGTAATTCAAAACTTCTTGACGAGGGAGAAGTGCCCGTGACTGAAAAGGAAGTGCCTGATGTTCTCTCCATTTCCACTTTCTTGTCTCAAGCAGCAAACCTTGTCAAGTGAGTGCAACTTTGATGAATATATAGATTTACTTATTTCGCTTGTTTTATATTAAAATTTGTGTTCAATTTTTTTAAAATAATATTTTCCGTGATTATAGGCTTGTGGATTCGAAGGACATAGCTGAAGTCCATCTAAAGCAAATGGACTGCGAGATCATTATAAAGAAGGAGGCATTACCGCAGGCAAACATCATGGCTGCTCCTGCTTCTATCGGGCAGCCCTCTTTTCATCAGCCAATTGCCCAGCAGCTGTTACCACCTGCCCCTGCTCCTGCACCTGCCCCTGCCCCTGCTGCAGCCCCTTCACTTCCACCGACTGCACCGGCAAAACCAAGTTCATCTCATCATCAACAAAAAGCTCCCATGGCTGGAACTTTTTACCATGCTCCTTCTCCTGGTGCACCACCTTTTGTTAAGGTATCTGGATCTTATCTAATTGTTTTCCAATATATTTTGGTTGTTCACCAAAGTGATTTTTATTTCTGGATTCAAAGTATTTTTATTGAGAATTTTTTATAAGAAGGGGTGCAGCCATGTAAAGGCTTGGTTGTTGTTAAAGTAATAGCCATGTTACCATTATGAAAAATATAATTTCTCAAAATTTTCACTTTGCACATCAATGCAACTGATGTTGCATGGTCGGTCACTTGATGTAAAATATGCATAAATAGTTTAACATTAAATGAAGGCATAAAATCCTAGCATGAAATGCTTTAAGGAAGTACTGTTGTTTCCATTTGTTTACTTTAGTTTCCAAGAATGGCAACCAAAATGCCTCTTTTTTCCTCAATATGTAGATATCATTCCTTTTTATCCTCTAGAAATGAATTTGTAGGAGTGAGTTAATGGATTAACATTGTTTCAAGGGTTAAAACTTCATAGCTGGGAGATGCAGTATGGCGTAACAGTATTAAGTAGAATGGTTAGCCTTTACATATGGGGAAATAATTACTACTATAGAAATTAAGACAGAAATAGTCATTGAAAGATCAATAAAGTAAGACTGCAGAGCTTATAATAATATATTAGACATTTTAAATTCAAATTAAATGTATGTCCCAGAATGTTAATCTTCTGTAGGCAGTTTTTATATTTTCACGACATATCATGATCTCACATGTTTCCCAGGTAGGAGACAAGGTTAGTAAAGGGCAGTTACTCTGCATCATTGAGGCAATGAAACTGATGAACGAAATTGAGGTGAGTTCTAGCTTGGTATTTCAATTCGAAAAAAGCTAGAATCACACCACATATGACACCACTTTTGACACCATTGTGTCTCGCAGACACACCCAAACAGTTTTGTCTGTTTGTGTGTCTATGTGAGACACAATCGTGCTAAAAGTGGTTTCATATGTGATGTGCCCCTAGCATGACTCATTTCAGTTACATGTGCATAGTTCTGTTTTTTCCATTGTGTGGGAATGGCGTGCCCGACACAACTTCTAGAGTCTCGCATTATGTTTTAGAGGGCCACGAGAGATCCATTTCCATGCAAAATGGACTATATTATCCCTTCCCAAGACCCCCCCTGCAGCCGTGAGTCTCCCTGTGTCTATCACTAATAACCATTTTTTCAAATCTCTCCAAACAGTTTCATTTTATATTTTAGAACTCATGTCATTTATTCTAGATTTCAGAATTCATATCATATCAACCCTACTTGTCAGAGTAGACACGGGGAGCCGGCCCACTTGATAGTTTGGGACCGTTCATTTGTGGTCTGTTTGGGTCCAAAAGTCAACCCCTTAGGATCCTTTTAGGTGAGTTAGGCCCGTGTTGAGAATACATCTAGTCATTGTTTAACTGCAAGTGCTTGTGCTAAAAATCGTTAGTGCTTTCCCAAATGTGCTATGTTTGAAGGTAGTTCTTACTCACATCTATTCTATGTTACCGGTCTTGTTTGGGAACAATGGGTTCAATTAGCGTGAGCATTTTTGGATAGTTTTTTTAATGGTTCATATTAACTTTGAAAACTAGCCTTTTCAAAACGCTAAAGCTATTGCCATACAGATCCATCATTTTCTGGCTTCCCGACTGTTACAATTCTTTTTTTTCTGCATCGTTGACAGGCTGAAATTTCTGGGACCATTGTTGAGATGCATGTTGAAAATGGAAAACCTATCTCTATTAATACGGTCTCTCTCTCTCTCTCTCTCTCTCTCTCTCTCTCTCTCTCTCTCTCTCTCTCTCAGAGACACACACACACACAGAGCATGTTTGTACATATCTTGAGCAATATATTGTTCCAGTTGTATTGGACTAATGTCTTTCTTGTTTGCAGCCTTTATTTAGCATTGCGCCATGAATATGAACAGATTGAAAGCAGCATAGGTCAGCAGGCAGGGGTGGAGTTGCAGAATGAGTTGTGAGTAATTCGGCTAAACCGGGTCCTATTTATATAAATTGAAGAAGAATTTCTTTTCATTGCGCTTGTGCTTTTAATGTATCTTAGAATAATATCAACTATTGATTGATATGGATTGTTTGATATATTTTATAGTAGTGTTCATTTGTGATTTCTCCATCTTTATTCTAGGGATGCTAGAGTCACTAACAAAAAAAAATCACAAAATGCACAAACTCGCCATATGTGATTTTTATATTTTTACGTTTTTTATTATTATTATTTGAGATCACTTTTAGTGGAGTTCACAAATGAAATTTTTAAATCTTGTACATTTTTTGTTTGGGACTCAAACATTTCTCACATGTGTAGTCTAGGACTGTTGCATAGGACCAAAACATTATTTAACTTCAAAGTGAGCATATACCAAATTTGTAATGTACTTCTGTTTGCCAAAACCTTTCCTATTTAATATTCAAGGCTGCATCTCGATATCTTTTATTTTGGTGTTTTTTCATTAGTCATTTGAGAAAAATAAAATATTTTTATTACTAGTTATTTTGTACTTCATCTGTTTCAATTTAAATCGTCTGTTATTGTTTATGAGTTACGGAGTATGATTGAAGTTACTTTCAATTTAATTTATTTAAAAATTGGTATGGAATTAAAAAATAAAATATACATATTTAATAACTACATCAAAAGTATTACAAAATAAGAATTGACAAGACTACTATTTTCTCAAATGAGTAGTAGAAATGAATAAAGAATGTAGTTAAAATTTGAAGTAGGAGAGAGAGGGTAGTATTTTTATATTGTTTTAAAAGTGATGGAAACCAAGTGAAATCCGGTAATAAATGAAAAAATAAAGCGGAAAAAAAGTATTTATACGTGAAAACTCAAGTCGGGAGAAAACCATAGGCCTTAGGTAGTACCATGCCAAGGGGAATGACTTTAGTTAATCTTAGAGAAATTTATATATACATCACTGTAGAAATTTAGAAACATTGAAGGATCTCTCGAACTCAAAGAAGATGAAGGAAGATGAATAGTAGTAGTAGGAGCTTCTCCTCCTTTTTGGGACTCCTCCTCTTCCCTTCCATTGTATATCTTTGCTTCTGCCTTGATTAATTTATTTGGTTTGTATCTTGGAACGGACTGAATTGGGCTTACTTGTACTGTTCAAATAATATTAGATTGGATAAAATCTATAATCCATCACATGTCCCCCCAGTTTTGAGTCTGTCTTAGGAAACGAGACAAATTCAGAAACTATATGACTCAGTGCCTCTTGGAAGGGGACTTTCTCGGGACTTGGGGCCTCTAGGAATAAGACTTTTCTTGAGGATTTGTGGTTCTTGGAAGAGGACTTGGTGCCTCGTAAAGAGGAATTTTCTCGAGGTTTGGTGCCTCTGGGAAGAAAGCTTTTTCTCTTTTTAGTGTCTCGGGAAGAGGACTTTCTCAAGACTCGTTGCCTCTTGCAAGAGGACTCTCTTGGGGCTTGGTGCCTCTTAGAAGAGGACTTCTCTCAGAGATTTTATGCCTCTTAGAAGAGGACTTTCTCAGGACTTTGTGCCTCTTGGAACCTCTTGAAAGAGGACTTTTCTTGGGACTTTGCTCCTCTTGGACGAGGACTTGGAGCCTCGTAAAGAGGACTATTCTCAGAGCTTACTTTCCAATATTCTTTGGAGTCTCTAAACCTCAACCCGATATCTATCTCACAGTGGTTTGGCGCTCCGTTCTTATTGAACGGTAGACGTTCCCCGCCCACCTCTCTCTCTCTCTCTCTTTATCTCTCTCTTCTATCTTGGTACGAGAGTCTATGGCTACCTCTAGTAATCTGATCCTTATCTCAACTCTGATCAGATTACTAACTTTTCTATATCTTTTATTTTTCAACTTGTCCAAAATATTTACTACACTACTCAGAGAGTATTAGCTATTTTTCATTCGACACTGAGCGGCCTCTAAACACTTGATGCTAAAGATGTCGGAGGCTGAATAGAGGTTGTGTCTCACTAGAGGACAAACGGCTTCTAGACTCCGTAACTCACTTGAGGAAGAAAGGCCTTTGGACGCCAGTGGTTCACTTGACTCTCAAACTCCCTAAAGGACGGGAGGCCTCTAGACGTTGGAGGCTCGCTGGACTGAAAGATAACCATGCAAGGATAGGCAGCGGAATACAAAATTTTAACATCCTAACATGATTATCTTGCCCAAAATCACGTACTAAAACTTATAGTAAATAAGAAATTTATACCTTTCTCCGTAAGCGGTAAAAACGAAGAAGTCGTCGGGAAGAGCGTTGAAAGTGCAAACGTAACCGTTCAAGCGTCCGGTCTCCAACTTTGACACACGAACAACGCTGGAGTCTACCACAATCTTTATGCTAGTAAAGATTATAGTAGTATAAAATATAAAGATTAAAATTTGGGATAATAATAATCTTGTATATTTCTATAGAAAATATTATAGATATTTTCTATACACAAAATGATATTAATGGAACCAAACTAATATATTCTCTCTCTTGAAATGGTATGGCCGAATCTCCCATCACCCAAAAAACAAATTCTAATTTGCAAATGGAGTGTTATATTTAAATAAAACAAAGATGTTTAATTAATTTTGTCATTAGCTAAATGACAAAACAATTAGCCCACTAATTTATCAATCAAGGAAAGTTAAAACAAATTTGTCAAACCTTTAATTGATATGGCCGTATGTTTTGATTTGAGAAAGATTTTCAAAATTCTTCTCCACTTAAATGTTCAAAGTGTATTTTATTTGACACCAAAAATTAATATAAAATTAATTTTAAATCAAATAAAAATACCCATATCATTTTTAAACAAGTATACAAATATACTTTAAATAGTTTATGTCAAGATAATTATTTTCATAATTAAAATGACAAACCAAAATAAAATATTCAATAATATATATATATATATATATATATATATTAACCGGCATATATATAATATATATAACCGAATATTTATATATATATATATAATATTATATTCCAAAATATTTACTTTACTATTTTTACAAATATACAAATTACTTATTATCCCATTATTTAGTCCTACTCCTGAAATTGTCCAAATCCTATGTACGTAATCTATGTTTCTGAATACGCGCTGCGGCATACCCAAAACAAAGCCTGTATACCATCCTTATTTCATATGACTTAAGACAATGCATCAAAATATGCGGGTTCACATATGCTAGAATAAACATAATACTTCAAGTCGAAGGATAGTTACACCCGTGGTCGCGCTAAAGATGCTTAGAGCATGAACTAAAAGTTCAAGCAACATCTTTAGGATGGGTCAGTCCGGCATCCTATTATCTCCAGATAATATCTGCCCATGTGCAGATGCGAACACACTGTCATTAACTATGAGACTAAGTCAAACATCCAACACACACTAGTCTCACATGCATTAACGATATCCCACTCTCGTTAATACTCGACTATGGACATTCAGATAAATATTTATTTCAAGATGTTAGTCTCATCAGCAGAATAACACTATCTGATAAACATCTTTAAATAGAAATCTAGGAATATAATATTCGTTTACATTAGCATGAGATGTGTAAACATTTTATATCTGCCTATATATGATAGGATAACGATGAACAGTTGGCCATCAGGGCACAACTCTAACATGGACTCCCTGGAGGATGGAGGGCCTCTGGATAGTATACGCCGGATGGCTCACTAGACTCTCTGACTCCCTGGAAGATGGAGGGTTTCTCGACAGTGGACGCCGGATGGTTCAATGGACTCCGTGACTCCCTAAACAACAGTGGGCCCTTGGGCACTGGACGCTAAAGGCTCGCTGGACTCCCTGGCTCCTTGGAGGACGGAGGGACTCTGGACACTAGAGGCTTGCTGGACATCTTGGAGCCAAAACAAACCACTAGAGGATGGCGTGGACCCCTAGAAGCTGGAACAGGCTACTTGGAGGCCGCCATGGATCCTTAGAAGCCGCAACGAACTACTAGAGGCCATCATGGACCCTTAGAAGTCGGAATGGACCACTAGAGGCCGGCATGGACCCTTGAAAGCCAAAACAGATCACTTGAAGGCCGACATGCACCCTTGGAGTCCGGCGTCAATTCTTGGAAGCTAGAACGGATCACTGGAGGCCGGCATGAACGCTTAGAGTCCGGCATGGACCCTTGAAAGCTGGAACAGACCACTTGGAGGCTAGCATGGACCCTTAGAAGTCGGAACGGACCACTTGGAGGCTAGCATGGACCCTTAGAAGTCGGAACGGACCAATGGAGGTTGTCATGGACCATTAGAAGCCGGAATGGACCACTAGAGGCCGACATGGACCCTTGGAAGCTCGAACAGACCACTTGAAGGCTGGCATGGACCCTTAGAAGCCGGAGTGGACAACTGGAGGCCGGAATGGACCCTTGGAATCTGGCGTGGACCTTCTAAAGATGAAACAAATCACTTTGAGGCTGGCGTGGACCCTAAAAAGCCGGAACGAACCACTGGAATGGACCACTTAGAGGCTGGCATGGACCCTTGAAAGCTGGAACGGACCACCTGGAGGCCGGCATGGACCCTAGAGTGAGGGAGCTCGCTGGACGGATATGGGTTGACTTTTCCCTTCCCTTCCTTTTTAAACGATTCTCTCTTTTTTCTCTCTTTCTTGTCTAATTTAAGGGTAGATCAACTCTCCTCTCTTTTTTTACTTAGTACTTCGCTTTTTTTAACATCCTCTCCATGTTTTAACTTCTCTCCCACTTTTCTTTCTCTTCTTTCTAAGGGACTCGGAACACGTAAACTTTTGTAGCTGGGTCCCACCAATGGTGCCAATGATAGAAACTACTTTTTAGGGGCATCAACCTGACAGACTCGGTATCGAGCCGACACAGCACCGAAGAACCAAATCCGATAAATAAAATAATAATTAAAGTGGAGAGAAAATATTTATAATGGGAAACCCAAATCGAGAGAAAACCACGGGCCTTAGGCAGTACCATGCCAAAGGGGGGGACTTTTATTAATTTCAGAGAAATTTACATATACATCACTCTAGAAATTTAGAATTATGGAAGGATCTCTAGAACTCAAAGAAGATGAAGGAAGATGAATGTAGTAGTAGGAGATTCTCCTCCTTTTTGGGACTCCCCCTCTTCCCTTCCATTGTATATCTCTGTCTCCGCCTTAATTAATTTATCTGATTTTTATCTTGGGCCGGACTGAATTGGGCTTACTTTTACTGTTCAAATAATATTGGATTGGATAAGATCCATAATCCATCACATGTCCCCCCTAGTTTTGAGTCTATCTTAGTGAACGAGACAAATTCATAAACTATATGACTCGATGCCTTTTAGAAAAAGAGTTTCTCAGGACTTGGTGCTAGGGATGGCATTTTTATCCGAATCCGACTTTTTCCGACCCGACCGATGTATATAATATCTGAATCCGACCGAAAAAATAAATATCCGAAACCGACCCGAAGATTTTAAAACCAAACCCGACTTTTGTCGGGTCGGTTTTCGGTAATTAAATTTGACCGACCCGACCCGTACCCAACCGACCCGATAATTAACCCGAAATAAAAGGTCTTTTTAAAATATAAAAAAAACCTTTTTCAATTAAAAGTCTTTGCCTTACGGGAGTTACCAGTTATAGACATGAAAAATATTTGTGAAAACTTGTTATATTTATGTGTGTTGTTTCTCTTGTGAAATATTTGTGAAAACTTGTTATACTTCCATGTTTTGGTTATTATTTTGGACACATCTTTTTTAATATCTTAATTTTACGATGTCTTTGAACATTCAAATGTTTTTATGTATTGGAATTCTAATTATATCATTACATGCATTTATTATTTTATCATTATTTTAATAAAAATCATTACAAAAAACTGATTTATTAGGATATTGGTATGGTCAGTCGGTCGGGTCGGTCGGTCGGTTTTCAGGTCGGGTTAGGCTTAGGTTTTTGTCAAATTCTCGGGTTTGGTTGCGGTTTCGGGTTTCGGTTTAGGCAGTCGGGTTCGGGTTCGGGTAGAAAGTTATACCCGACAGTTCGGGTTCAGGCAAAAAAAAATATCCGATCAAAATTTCGGGTCGGTTTCGGGTAGGGGTATATCCGAACCGAACCCGACCCGTTGCCATCCCTACTTGGTGCCCCTTGGATTAAGACTTTTCTCGGGGATTTTTGCTTCTTGGAAGAGGACTTGGTGCCTTGTAAATAAGAATTTTCTTGGGGCTTGGTGCCTCTGGGAAGAGGACTTTTTCTCTTTTTAGTGCCTCGGGAAGAGTACTTTCTCGAGACTCGTTGCCTCTTGGAAGAGGACTTCTCTCAGGAATTTTGGGCCTCTTAGAAGAGGACTTTCTTATGACTTTTTGCTTCTTGGGACCTTTTGAAAGATGACTTTTCTCGGGGATTTATGCCTCTTTGAAGAGGACTTTCACGGGACTTTGTGCCTCTTGGAAGAGGACTTTCTCGGAACTTTGTACCTCTTAGAAAAGGACTTTCTCAGGACTTTGTGCCTCTTGGACGAGGACTTGGTGCCTCGTAGAGAGGAAAAATATCAATAATCTAATGCAGGAATTGAGATTGTATTCAAGGAATCAGGAACTACCCTCAACTACTGGATGTGAGCGGCTCGCTGGACTCCTTGAGTCCCTAGAGGACGGAGGGCCTCTGGACACTTGAGGCTCGCTGGGCATCTTGGAGCCGAAATGGATTATTGAAGGACAGCGTGGAACCTTAGAAGCTGGAACTGGCTACTTGGAGGCCGTCATGGATCCTTGGAAGCCAGAACGGACTACTAGAGGCCATCATGGACTCTTAGAAGTCAGAATGGATAACTTGAGGCCGGCATGGACCCTTGAAAGTTGGAACAGACCACTTGAAGGCCGACATGGACCCTTGGAGTCTGGCGTCGACTCTTGAAAGCTGGAACGAACCACTTGGAGGCCGACATGGACCCTTAGAAGCCGGAACAGACCATTGGAGATTGTTATGGATCCTTAGAATCTGGAATGGACCACTAGAGGCCGACATAGACCCTTGAAAGCTGGAACAGACCACTTGAAGGCCGGCATGGACCCTTAGAAGCTGGAACGGGCCACTAGAGGCCGGCATGGATTGTTGGAGTCCGGGGTGGACCCTTCAAAGCTGAAACATACCACTTCGATGCCGGCATGGACCACTGGAGGCCGTCATGGACCCTTAGAAGCTGGAACAGACCACTAGAGGCTGGCATGGACCCTTGGAAGCTAGAACGGACCACTTAGAGGCTGGCATGGGCCCTTGGAGTCCGGCGTGGACCCTTTGAAGCTAGAACGGACCACTTGGGGGCTGGCATGAACCGTAGAGTGAGGGAGCTCGCCGGACGGATATGGGTTGACTTTTCCCTTCCCTTCCGCTTTCAACTGTTCTCTCTTTTTTTCTCTCTTTCCTAGCCAATTTCATGATAGATGTACTCTCTTCTATTTTTTTACTTAGTATTTCGCTCTTTTTTTAAACTTCCTCTCCACTTTTTCTTTGTTCGTTTTTTAACTTTCTCTCCACGTTTTCTTTCTCTTCTTTCTTAGAAACTAAAAACACTTAATCATTCTGGTCTCATTGGTGGTGCCAATGATGGAATCCGCTTTTTTGGGGCATCGACTCGAGAGACTCGGTATCAGGTTGGCACCACACCAAAAAGTGAAATCCGTTAAATAATTGAATAAATAAAGCAGAGAGAAAGTATCTATACATGGAAACCAAATTGGGAGAAAACCACGAGCCCTAGGCAGTACCATGCCAAAGGGAGGGACTTTTATTGATCTCAGAGAAATTTACATATACATCACTGTAAAAACTTAGAAACATTGAAGGATCTCTCAAACTCAAAGAAGATGAAGATGAATAGTAGGAGGAGGAGCTTCTCCTCCTTTTTCAGGACCCCCCTTTTCCCTTCTGTTATATATCTCTGCCTTCGCCTTGAATAACTTATCTGATATGTATCTTGGGCTGGACTGAATTGGGCTTACTTGTACTATTCAAGTAATATTGGATTGGATAAAATTCCTAATCTATCAAATGCCCCCTAATATTTTCCCCTCAGACTATTGGGCAGTCCTAGGATCAAATACTAGTATCCGGTCCTTGTAACAGTGAAAGAGTAAAAATAAAGTAGTAATGAGTAGTTTAAAATGGATGGCACTCATTAATATAACTTAAATTGGTGTCCTTTCCTCTAAACCGTATGTCCGTGGATTAAAATATCCTCTAGGACCACTAGAATATTCTTTTATTACTCAAAGTATCTCTTTTATCTCTCCGTTACAAGTTACCTTTCATGGCCAAGTCTCTCTCTCTTTTAGAGGGGACTCCCCTAACCACCACCTCATCAAGATATCTCTGGTGATTGAGGGGATATCCGGTAAATCTCTCTTTCCCAGAAGGCTTTGTCTCTCACTCCAGGTTATCTGCTTTAGGACAAATCTGTCCATGGACAAATATTCCATATCACCTCTGTCTCAAACAATGAAAGGGGAATATTTTGTCCATCTCTCGAGGGAGGCACACCCTAATTCTATAGGGGTGGGCCGTGTACTTCCTTGGTGACCCGATCCTCTATGGGATGAAGCTCAACTTTTGCTTCAATCCAATCTTCCCAACTCCCATCTTAGTTCTCCCCGGTCCAATCCTTTAATTGCACCGGGCCTGACTACTGTCTCACCCCAGCCCATTTATCTTACTATACTTGGGCCGGATCCTCTAAAGCTACGGACCCTAACTTGGGTCTCATACATATTTTAGGCCCAACTCATCTTATAATATCTTGATGGGCTAGGTTCCCATCACATGCCCTTTTTACAAGTCAAAAATGAAATTTTTGGCTTCTTCACATCTCTTTTCCTTATCTTCAGTCTCTACGCTTGTAACGGAGATTCTCTCTTGGAAATGTTGAACTCTAGCGGTCCACTCTGCACTGATTCAAGTGGCCTCCCTCAATGGCGGTCCCTGGCATTGATGGAGATTTGACATCCATGGGTCCTCACTCAACGGTCCTTCATTAATGGATGGTTCAGCAGCTCTTTCCCTAGTCAAGGTGGATTGCATTCCAATGTTTCCTCTTCCCCATGGTCTTTCCTTTTCTTCATGTTTACAAAATGTCTTTATGGGAGACCCCACACTGGCTCGCTGGAAGTGTAAAACAATTCGCATGATGGATCGCTAAAGGGGATTGGCTCAATGCCAATGGATAACTCTTTTTCAAAGTATCTTTTGGTGTGAAATACGGTCAACAGATGGTCCCTACCCAAGTGACCGTCTGTTTACAATGGGATTGGGTTTGGAGGGGGCCCTCGTTTTCCGAATCTTATCAAATTTTAGGGACTCGCCACATGCCTGACCATCAACTGAATTTATGTGGTCCTTCTCTTTTTCTTTCTGTTCCACTTGTGATCTTTCTTTTCTGATCCTTGATTGTTTCTCATTGGAGAGAGGATCGGTTAGGCTGCTATAAATTAAACCTCCTCCTCCATCCTTCCCTACACTCTCCTTCTCTCTCTCTCTCCCTTAGAGGATCAATTTTCTCTTCTCCATTTCTGTCTCCCTTCTTTTGCACCAAATTAAACTTTTCTTCCTTGTCTTCTCCCAGAATGAAGAAAGCTGTGATTAAGGCTACTAAATTCTTCAACGGTGGTAAAAAATCGAAGGGTGACAAGAACGTTTTGTCCATTTTTGATGCTCAGCTTAGGGAGATGAGGGGTCTGATCCCTCTTTGTTATGAGGTCTGCCAGCCGATGGCACCACTTTGGAGAATAAACACAATCCTGTCTGCCGCCTCATTGTGCACTATGACTCGGTGAAGCTAGAGTGGCGTTTTCCCCTCCATATCCTTTTGGTGTACATTTGTAACCACTACTTCATCCCTCCTGCCCAAATATTCTCCAATTCTCACGAGACTATCTTCTACTTCTTGGCCCGTTGTCATAAAAGGGCATAGAGCCAACCTTGGATATCTTCCTACACTTCTTGCGGCCCCACAAGTATGATCGTGATGCGGGTAGGGGTTTCTTCAGTTTCACGGCCAAGACAGATAAGCAAATCCTTGATGGTCCGGAAAATAAAATTGAGGATTAGTACCGCCGATTCTTTATGGTAATGGAACACGAAAATCTTCCTTTCCCCAATGTGTGGAGGAAGAAGGAGGATAAGTCCCCATCATACTCTTTTCCTCCCCACTCTCTGCATCTTGAGGAGATCTTCGGGCTCTTCTTAAAAAATGGTCATCCCATTCCTCGCAATCTCTTTTCCAAGAACGACTACATTCGAGGCCTTGGTTTTTGGATACCTTTGGATGCTCCCCTACAAGCAATATCTGGGAATACCACTTCCACATGGGCCCCTCCACTTAGGCCCACACGTGTGCGCCGCTCACGGTGCTCTTCCCGAAGGGATCCCTCTCTAGAGGGAGAGGAGGACGTCCACTCGGCCACTATGAACGAGAGGTACTGGGCGACTATCCAGGCGGTCCACCAAGGGGGAGAGGTCGACAACTAGGAGGATAAGGAAGGTCTTTACAACTTTTCTGAGTTTTCTCCCACGGCCCTTAGGGGTCCTAACTTTATTCTCGGTGTGCCTCTGACTAATCTCTTTGGCGGCGGAGCTTCTTTTTCTCAACACCCCACTGGCTTGCAGGGGTCTCTAGAACATCTCCACGTCCAAGTGCATGGACTTGGATCCAGTCCGGGCTTCTCTCGGAACTTCTCACCGTCTTCTGGATCACCGTCCTCTGGATGTGGAGGTTGCTGGTGACATGCTGTCCTTGGGTCAGCACATGCGATCTGCCAATCTCCCTTACCCTTATGCTCGAGAAGCCCATCTCTTTACGGGTTACACTGCTTGGGCTGGTATGGACTTCCGACTTCGTCTGCATGAGGAAGAAATTCCGTACGGAACACCCAGACGAACTCCAAAGTCTGGCCTAGCCTTTCATTCTAGAGGAGCATACTCGCATGATATTTAAAGCTTTACTTGACTTAGCTTGTTTCTTTCCCTTTCCTTTTTACTCATGGTCAAATGTTCTCTTTATTCCTAACAGGCATACTATGTTGCTGTTTCAGACGCCCCGCGTCATTCTCACCGTATCGTGGATCGTAATGCCACCTTGTCCCGTGAGCATCTAGACTATGATCGGGTTCTTTCTGAGCGTGACCAACTCAAGGCCAAAAATCGAGATCTCCTTTTAAAACGGCTTGAGGATGTCGACCAAGCCTAGATTTTTAAGGAACAGACCATCCAAAGGATGCACACCGAGTGCGAGGAGCGTGAGCGAGCTATCTGCAAACAAGCGGATCTCCATCGTTGCGCCGTGAAAGAGGAGCTTGAGCAGAAATGGCGAGGGCAAGCGAGTCTTGAGGCTTAGAAAGCGGCAAAAGAAGCTGACACAAATGGCGCTTACATTCAAAGGAGGTGGAGCGCTAGCTCTCCCGCCAAGTCGAGGAGCTCAACCTAGCCCTTACTGAGGAAAGGAGTTTTGCTGAGACTTCTCAAAGTTCACTTGATGAAGTCTGTCACTCGCTTGAGATAGAGCTTCTTACTTATGAGGAGCACATGGACCGTCTTGAGGCAAAGCAAATCTCTGACTATGGCCATGGATTCTATCGCAGGGGGCTCACAGTGCAAAATCAGTTTTATGCTGGAACCAGGTGAAAGGTAATCACGGTTGGGAGGGCAGCGGAAATACAAAAATTTAAGCTCCCAATAGTGATTACTAGCCCAAGAACACGTACTAAAACCATAGCTAGAGATAGAAACTTATACCTTCTTCGGTTAGCGGTAATGACGTTGAATCGGGGAAAGGCGTTTAATGAGCAAACGTAGCCGATCAAGCATCCGGCATCTACCTTTGACACACGAACAATCACCGGTGTCTACTATAATCTTTATGCTAGTAAAGATTATAATAGTATATTTAATATAAAGATTTAAGAGGGATAATATTAATCTTGTATATTGAATAGTAGAAAATATATCAATAATATTTTAAAGAAAATATTATAACAATTTTCTACACCTGAAACAATAATTTTGGAACTCAAAATTATTCTCTCTCTTGCACTTCACTTAGCCGAAAAAATGGAGCATGGAGTGTGTGAAGATACTTTCAATTTATTTAAGTAAAAAAACATTAATAATGATAATATGACAAAAATGGTTTTGCCAAATTCACCTCCTCCACTCAATTTACAAAGTGGGAGACAAGCTCTCCACTTATACATGTATGTACGAAAAAGGTGAGGGGGGAAGAATTTAATTCTTCTCTTCTCAAACGTTCAAAATGTATTTTATTTGACATCAATAATTTTTATGATATAAAATAAAATACCCAAAACATTTTAAAATAAGTATATAGAAATATACTTTAAAATAGTTTTTGTCAAAATAATTATTTTCATAATTAAAATGACACTCCAAAATAAAATGTACACAATATATATATATACATATATATATACATATATATATATATACATATATATATATATATATATCCGTATATAATATATATACATATGATATGTTAAAACATTTTATTTTACTATTTTACAATATAAAAATTAAATATTATCTCTTCTTATAATCCTACTCTTTAAATTGTCTAAAGTGTGTGACCCATATAGGCACTTATAAAACTGGTCACAGTACTCTACACCAATACTATAAGTAATAAGCGGTATTTGACAACACATTATTACCCCCCAGATTATAAGTTTAGACGTTTGCTCCGTCAAAACCTTTCCACGACTAAGACTCCGTGTAACGTAGATCCCTTTATCCCAATGTCTTAACTTAATGCAAGGGATATAAAATCCAGCCTATCCCATTAAGTTATTCACTGATCAACAAGTCTGAGTGAATGGACATATGTCTTAACTCATCTCAGCATCGCCATGCATTTCCTCAGTCATCTTATTAGTGGGCCCAACAAGACATAAATTTCTCCTAAATAGGAGTGACAAATTATATGTACGTAATTTACGTCTCCGAATACGCGCAGCGGCATACCCAACACAAAGCTTGTATACCATCTTTATTTCATACGGCTTAGGACGATGAATCAAAGTATGCGGGTTCACGTATTCGAAGAACGTATTACTTCAAGTCTAAGGATCGCTACACCCGTAGTCGCGCTAAGGACACTTAGAGCATAGACGAAAAGGTCTATGCAATGTCCTTTAGGTGGGTCATGTCCGGCATCCCACTATTAACGATAATGTCTGCCCGAATGTAAATGCAAACTCTCCGTCATTGACCAAGAGACTAGGTCAAACATCTAACACTCGCTAGTCTCACACGTATTAATGATATCCCTCTCTCGTCAACACTTTCACTATGGACCGTTAAGAATTATATCTTTACAAGACGTCAGTCTCAACATCAGAAGACTCAATCTGATAAACATCTTTCAAATATAATTCTAGGAATGTAATAGTCGTTTACATTAGCATGAGATGTGTGTAAACATATTACATCTGTCTTTACATGATAGAAAATATCTAAGATATTACAACAGCAGTTGGCCATAAGGGCACCAGCTCCAACACCAGGCCCTATTGTGATGGTTTGGCCCCATGGATAAAGTTTCCTGGCACCCCTGAACCCATGGGGAAAGAACCTGTCCAATTACATGCTCTTTCTCGTTAGAACTAATGATTTTAAATAATGAAAATAAAAAAACAATTGCCTACCTTTTTCTAAGAGTAGAATGAAGAATTGTTGGTATAGTTTTAATGATTTGAATAGGGAAGAAATTGAAAAAATGTATAGATTTAAAATAATATGTTGGAAAGGAGAGTATTTGAATTTATTAATGAAGTTTGGAAGGTGTGGAAAGAGAAAAGAGATAGGGTAAATAAATAAGGGAAGAGAAAGGGAGAATAAAGGATGGGTCAAGGCAATTTATTTACTCCTCTTCTCAAAAGAGGTCGTCGACTTTCTTTGTCACTAACTCGAAATTATTTAGATTTTTTGGAATTCCATCATACTCCGTAGTATTCTTCCCTTTCACGGAAGTTACCTCATTAAAGTGGCTTTATTAAAGCTTGTTGGGAGCACAGGAATTTTTCTTTTCTTTTTGTTGAACACAGTCGCCGACTTTCTTACACCTCTAGCGCATTTTTATTTTTTTCAGGCTTTGTGTCAGTTGCAGTTAGCGACTGCGTTTTAAGGTGCTCTGTTTGATTTTTTTCTTTCTTTTCAGGTGGTCTGATCTCTTCTTTCAATTCCGAATCAGCCAATTGGCCAAGATTTCATAGGGAGTATGTTTTTATAAATGCTTCCTATTCCTTCCACTTGTTCATCTTGAGAAAAAATTGAGTTTTACATATATAATATTTGCTATGTATAACTCTGAACAATACATTTTTAATGTCTATTGGGGTGGTGAGATTGATTCCAATGGATTAGATGTCTCATACTCTATTATGTATAAAAAAAACTCTTATTATTCACGATAGTACATCTTGGGATCATGTTAGAGATCAAATTAAAGTATACATCACTCAAAATGGTTACGACCAAATTGCAAGAGTAAATGGAAAAGTACCATACCATATGGGGTCCAACAACAAGAGTCGGCTTATGGGCATTGAAAACCAACTAACATGGACGTATTTTGTTAGTCATGAAAAAATGTTCGGGTTATTAGATATATACATCTCTAGGCATCAGGGCGAGAGTGTGCCCAATTTTTCGAACCCTGAAGTACTTCATGCTTGACGCATGTCGAACGTCAACAATGATGTGGACCCTATTGATAATCTAGAGAGTGGAAAAGACCCTGAACCGTCAGAAGTGGAAGGTGATGTAACAGAGAGTGCATGAGCACAACAAATGCGAAAAGAGGCCATTACCAAGATAATGAGGTACACTTCGGATGTTCTCTTGAAAAATGTTTTGACTTTTGATTCCTTTGTAAGTTTACGGGATGCAGTGACTAAATATTATATTAAAGACCATAGAGTATGGCTTCCAGAATACAAAAAAAGTGGGTCTTGGTCGGCTAAATGTTGGTACAGGGATGGAAACCCATCGTGTGCATGGCGGGTACAAGTTGCACAACAAAAAGGAGGAGAGTGATTGTTAAAGAAGATTGACAAAAAAACACATATGTTGCCCGGATTACTCTAATGGAGGGGATGATTATAATATCACACAAGGTTTCATTGCTAGGATGATTGTTGCAAAAGTCCACGTCAACCTAGAATATAAGGTGAATCTTATTCAGCACGAAATTATGGAGTTCTTCAAAGTGTCTGCCACATACAAAAAATGTTGGCACGCTAGACTTGATGCATTAAAGATGTTGTACGGGAGTTGGAAAGATTCTTACAATCTATTTCCAACTCTCTTGTACACTTTACAAACTTTGTATCCAGGCACTGTGGCAGAGTTAGTGTATACTGAGTCTCAACGAAACCTAAATGTTGAACCCACAGATGGATTTCCATTTAAGTATGCATTTTGGGCTTTTCGAGCAGCCATCAACGGCCTACAATTTTGTTTGCTTGTGGTCACTGTAAATGGGAGGTATTTGTACAGAAATTAGAAATGACATTTACTCCTAGCAGTGACAATGAATGGGAACCGTGAGTTATTTCCCTTGGTGTACGCTATTGTTGATGGTGAAACGATCGAAAGTTGGTCATGGTTCTTGCGTCTAGTTGCACAAAAGGTCGTAAGAGATAAAAAGATTGCAATTATTTCTGATAGGCATGCTGGAATTATTAATGCCTATCGAGACATCCAATAACTTTGCACTGGACGGATTAAAAAAAACAATTTTGTCTTTGCCATTTACGAAGTAACTTAAGCACATGGTGTTCCACAACATCACATTAGAAAATCTCGTGTGGGCAGCAGGGAGCACTCCTAGCATCTAGGATTTTCAGAAACACGTGGAAGAAATCAGGAGTATGAATGAGGACGCATTTGGTTGGCTTGCAAAAATTCAACCTGAGTTTGGACGCTTAGTCATGATGGCGGTCATCGATGAGGGATACTTACCACCAATAGTTCAAAGAGCTTCAATAACATGTTAAAGGATTGTCGAATGCTACCTGTAACTGCTATTGTCACAATGTCGTATAATTAATTCATTGATCAGTTCGAGACACGATGCAAAGCATGTTTTGCATGGCAGAGGAAAAATTGTTTATTTACTCCTAAAATCACCAAGATTTTCCAGAAGCATGAGAAAGATAAAAAACTTTTCCAAGATGTGCATTATGGTGGGCAAGAATATGTGCTAAGTAGAACATCAAGGTCTAATCCAGCAAACATCTATAGTTTTTTACTCCCTCCATTCTCAAAAACACTTCCTCTTTCATTTTTTCCACTTCCAACAAAACACTTCCTCTTTCTATTAAAAAACCACTTTTACCCTTACTTTTTCCTACCCTACCTATCACATCATACTTTTTCTCTAATAATCTATCCATCACATCTTACTTTTACCCATCACATCAGGGGCAAAATTGGAAATTAACTATAATTTAACACTTCCTTATTTTTGTCCCCAAATCAAATGGGAAGGGTTTTTCCAGACGGGGGGAGTAGTAGATTTGGGAAGAAAAACATGCACTTGTGGACAGTGGAGCAGCGATGGTATTCCATGCGTGCATGTTCACGGACTGTATCATTCTTTTCGACGACTGGTTGATGAGCAAATCTCTTCAATTTATTGAGTTGAACAATATATGAGGTGTTACACTGTACAAATCAGCCCCAGATTTTTCCCACAACAATCAGTTTATGGGAATTTAAGGATTTTACCCCAGTAAGGTCCGCTGAAGAAATATTTTGGTCTGGTCGTCAACAGCGAAATCCATTCTTGGGAGGGATGGACAGAGCTGCTAGGCATCAAAACTAAGTTTTTGCATTATTATGTGTTGGTTTTGAAATCATTTGTTATAGATTATCTTTTTTTTTACTTTTATTCAGCAACTCTTATTTATGTTATGAATGTAACTTTGTTATTTTGAACTTTGTTGTTCTTATTTTAGTTATTTTAGTAATTAAATTAATTCTAAAAAATTTAATAGAAATTAATTTTTTTTCTTCGAAAAGTAAAAAATAAGGTAAAACAAAAAAAACAAATAAAAGATGACGAAGTGAGCCATCTAGAAAATAATACTACCTCCGTCCCAATTTATAATGCCTGTTTCGGTTTACGATGTTTGACTGAAATTATTTTCAAACCATTTTATATGACAAATGGTATAGAATTAAAAAATAAAAATTACATATTAAAAAACTACATCAAAAGATCTACAAAACTAGTAGTGACAATAATATTTTATTTTATCAAATTGCTAACGAAAATAGAGAAAGAAAGTGAATGAAGTTTGACCCTGTGAATAGTAAACAGGCATTATAAGTGAGCTTCCGGAGGAAGTGTGCATGCCAGACAATGCTGATGGAAGTCAAAAAAGCAATTTCTAGGATTTTTTCAATAGAAGTTGCTCACTGCATATTGAGATCCTAAAGAACTTTTTCATAGAATTGAGTGGACAAGACTTTATTAGAGGCCTAGACAACCCAATATTTTGGGGCTTGAGATCCTCCTCTGTCCCTCCCTCCTTATCCCACTCACATTTTGCCACATAGCCCACCTCCACCTCTAATCCCCCTTTGATGGGTGGTGGGATAGGGGGTCATATGTGTATAGGTGGGTGGGTGGGTGTGTGTTAAATTAGGGTGGAGTGGGTTATGTGGTAAAATGTGAGTGGAGGTATTCGAACAACGTAAAAATTCCATAAAAGTTACTCCACAAAATAATATCTTTATAATTACTCCGTGGTACATACGGAGTATAAAAGCCCCTAAAAATAAAATTTATGCTTGTGTTTGATTAGGGATAAAATATTTTTCTTGAAAAATATTTTTCAAGGAAAATTATTTTCCAATCATATTTTTCGTTGTTTGGTAGGAAGAAAAATATTTTCTTGAAAAAATTTGTTTCTTTTATTAATATTTAAAACTAAAATTATAAACTCATTTAAATTTTAAAATTTAAAACTTATAATATCAAACTTGAAATCTAAAGTTCAAAACTTAAAATTTAAAATTTAAAATTTAAAATTAGGTATATGACCCTATTCTTGCGCGCTACTCTATTGGTTTCTTACTACAACACAATTTCTTTTGGGTCTAAGACTATGTTCTCTTCATCTGATCTAAATGGTTCAGATCATATTTGATTAGGTCTAATCTGATATGAATTTAGTTATATTTAAAAAAAATATTTTTTAACTTTATACCGTTTGCCATATAAAATGATTTGAATAACAAAGTTGATTCGAATATAAGAATAAGGCGTCATCAAGGGAGGGCACATAAATAAGAATTTCCCACACTTGTTCATAGAAGATAGAGTGCCCTACTTCAGTAAGCCAAACAATATTCAAATGAACCAAAACAAAGACAGGAAGCAACTACCCCACTCAACTTTTCTTGCTTGGTCGAGGGCCAAGACCCAAGTAATTTGTAACCAATCCCATAATACCAAACCTGACAAAAAAGATGTCCAGTACAGAATAAATATTTTGTGCAGAGACTTGGGAATAATCACTAGTTCATAGAAGCACAGCAGCTTATTAGAAGAATGATAATAAAAAAAAGTTGAGTGTATTAAGTTTAGTTACGCCAACAAATAATGGTTATTTCCGTTAGTTGTACCTTCAAGAAGCATGACTCTTCTTGTGGTACAGATGGAGTATTATACTCCGTACATAAGCATTAAGTTTAGCTTATGTAAAACACATGCATCACGTTAGTCCAAGCATTCAAAATAAGCAACCGCACAGAGAAACACCGCCAAAATATTACCCCAAACAATTACTCGCATTTTTTTCAAAATAAGGGTATGATTGAGGAGTTTGGCTGAACTATTTGTTTGGTGTGTGTACGCAGACCTTACCCCTACTCGAAAGCAGAGAGGTTTTTTCCAAGAGGCCCTAGCTCGAGAAACACATAATGCACAAAAAATGCAGAGCACGGAAATTTAAATGTGTTATGATGAAAAGGATATGAACGTAAACTGAGACAAGTATACGTTTGCACAAAAAGAAACTAAGTTTGCAGTTTTGGTACAGAATAATGCAGCTTTTGAATGGCTGCATAAGGACCTAACAACAGAGGATAGGAGATGACATTGTTTCTGCTTGCTGGGGTGCAAGAGAAAAAGGCGGGAGATCTGCACCAAGTGAGGTGCGTGGAAGGCGAAGATGGCAGAGTTTTGAGGAAACGGCAGAGATTAGAAATCAATGACAGTCATACTTTCATAGCCCTCTAAATGGAGGGGAAGAGAGTCTGATACTAAGTGAGTTAGGGTAGTCTGTGAGTCGTCAAGATTTCAAGAACTGTCAGCACATTAGAAAGAAGATGGTAAAAGCTATTTACAAAATGAAAGGGGAGAACTTTGGGACGAGAGGAGATCCTAGTGGAGTTTAGGAAGATTGTAGGAAGAGATGGGTTGGTGTGGATCGTCAAGTTATTTAATGTTATTTTAAAGATGGCTAATATAACTGAAGAATAGTAGGAGAGAACATTGAAGGATTCAAAATGAATCATAGAGACAAGGTTGAAGAGGAGGTGTCGAGGTGAGCATTTCCAAAAACCAATTCGAATTCATGCTAAGTCAGTCAACCAAAGAGGCCATTTACTTCTTCAGGGGTAAAAGGAGCAATATATCAATAAGAAAAAGACATCCACATGGCGTTTATAGACAGGGATGGATAAAGTGCACAACATAGTTGTTTGAGAGATCTTGTGGAGGTACTCAGAGACAGAGTACACAGGTGCCGGTAGCTTACATTCCAGTTGTTATGAACATGTATGATGGGGTGAGGACCAAAGTGAGGCCGATAGGAAGATAATTGAATCACTTCTTGGTTAAGAAGGAATTAATTAAGAGGTGTGTCGTTAGTCCTTGTTTGCCCTAGTAGTGGATGTTTTGGCGAGACATATCCAAGGGGAAGTACCTAGGTGTATGCTTTTTAGGGCAACATTGTTCTAATTGATGACGCACATAACGTACTTATTGATTGATTAGAAGTGTCGATACATATCTTAATTCTAAAAGTTTCACATAATGCATGACTAAGACTGAGTGCAGAGTGCAGCGTTAGTGGGTCTGATGAGATGGAAACTTGCTTCAAGCATCTTATGAGACGAGAATATTTGTGAAGCTGGAAGGCAAGCTTTACCAAGCAGTTATCAGACCGACTATGTTGGAGCACTCATGTTCAAAATCTCCAGGTGGTGGAAATGAGGATGCTGAGAGCCTGAGATGGATATGCGTTCATACGAAGATAATAAGATGTATAGGATGTGAAATGGAGATATACGAGAAAGGTGGATGTATAGGATGTATGAGGATAAGTTGTGCGAAGCTAAACTGAGATTATTTGGGCAAGTGCTGAGTAGAAGTATTGATACTCCGGTTAGGAGGTGTGAAAGGGGGGAGGTACGAGACATGAGGAGACGTAGAGGTGGACTTCGAAAAGTTGGAACAAGGTAGTTGTGGATATGATATTAGATAGGAGCATCTGGAGGTCGGGGATTAGGGTGGTCCTTGGTAGGATAAGCCTTGGAATGTGATCTAGCCTTGTGTGGAACTTGTTCTTTAGTTTGTTATATCTAGGTGTGTGAGTGCTTCTTTGGTGTTGCTGTCTTCCTTTTTTCCTTCTCTATTTCCCTTTACCTGTTGTTTTTTTCCTTTCTACAATTTTTGAGGTTTTTTTTTGTGATTTTGAGCTGGAGGCCTCTAAGAAACAAGCTCTCTACTCTCACAGTAGGGGATAAAGTTTGTGTACACTCACGCTCCATAAACTGATAAACTCGTCACTTTGTCAGATTTTCCTGGGTTTGTTGTTCTAGTTGTTGTTGTTGTTTCTTTCCATTTTATACTTTTACATGTAGCAAAAGGCTTCCAAAATACTTAAATTTGCATTGAAGCCTTGTATATCGGCATCAATTCAAGTCTAAGCAACGCAAAAATGCAAGACACATTTAACAAAAAAACCCTTCTCAAACTCAAAAAACTACAAAACTCAATAACGAAGAACACCATGGACGAGCTAGAGCCTAGAAAGAGACTGAAAGAAAAAAAAACTCACATCATTTCCATGGAGATATGCGTTCAGACGAACATAATAAGATGTATAGGGTGTGAAATGGAGATATACGAGAAAGGTGGAATGGTATGTATGAGGATAAGTTGTGCGAAGCTAAACTGAGATGATTTGGGCAAGTGCTGAGAAGAAGTATTGATACTCTGGTTAGGAGGTGTGAAAGGGGGGAAGTACGAGACGTGAGGAGACGTAGAGGTGGACTTTAAAAAGTTGGAACAAGGTAATTGTGGATATGATATTAGATAGGAGCATCTGGAGGTCGGGGATTAGGGTCGTGCTTGGTAGGATAAGCCTTGGAATGTGATCTAGCCTTGTGTGGAACTTGTGCTTTAGTTTGTTATATCTAGGTGTGTGAGTGCTTCTTTGGTGTTGCTCTCTTCCTTTTTTTCCTTTTCTATTTCCCTTTACCTGTTGTTTTTTTCCTTTCTACAATTTTCGAAGTTTTTTTTTGTGATTTTGAGCTGGAGGCCTCTGAGATACAAGCTGTCTACTCTCACAGTAGGGGATAAAGTTTGTGTAGACTCGCGCTCCATAAACTGATAAACTCGTCACTTAGTCAGATTTTCCTGGGTTTGTTGTTCTAGTTGTTGTTGTTGTTTCTTTCCATTTTATATTTTTACATGTAGCATAAGGCTTTCCAAAATACTTAAATTTGCATCGAAGCCTTGTATATCAGCATCAATTCAAGTATAAGCAACACGAAAATGCAAGACACATTTATCAAAAAAAAACCTTCTCAAACTCAAAAATCTACAAAAGTCAATAAGGAAAAAACACCATGGACGAGCTAGAAAGAGACAGAAAGAAAAAAACTCACATCATTGCCATGGAGATTTGCTTGAGATCAGTCTCCATATTCTTCATGTTAGCAAGTGATTGAGCACTGAAAATTATTGCAAGCCACGAACAAATTTTGTACTGCAAGAGAAAAGTAGATCATCACACTACGAACTTCGCCAAAATATACAACAATGAACAACCTAATGGGGCCAAAACACAAATCAGGATGAAAAATAAGAACACAATTCTGAAGCTGAATTGCTTTGTAGCAAAATTATAAAGCTGAATTAGATCGGAGGTAGTTGTATCGCAAATACATACTCGGAACATGGCACCGAAAACACCAAAGACGACGGCGATGAAGCCGGAGTAGTCTATAGGAAGATCTTGAGGGGACACCGCCTGAGGTTTGTACGGCTTGGCCGCCGACGGCATGCGTGGATCGTTGCCCTGCGACGACATTGCGGATCCGTTGGTTTGGGGTATGAAGAAATTTTGCACGGGAATTCGATTACTACTTTGGTAACAATCGGTGGACGAATAATACGAGTATAATGTTGTTTAATGGACTTATTGGACTATAGTTATTCTCGGTCTAACCATTTATTTCCTATTTTGACTTGGAACAAAGATTTGGAAAAAGTAAAAAATGTAAAAAAAATTAATGTGATTATTAATGTGATGGAATAAAGTGAATAATATTAATAAAAATGAGGATATAATGACATGTTCATTAAAATTTTTTGCTGAGTGGTAGCAAGTCCACTCCTCAGGATTCATGGGGAAATTCACTCAGGTTCGAGCCCTAGCGAAGGTAGCAGCATTGGCTCTTTGTGCGTCATTAGCTTGAGAATAGTATGAACAGATACTACCTTGTAGTAGAGTCAATAGCATTCAAAAAAACGAGAAAGAAATTTGTCGAGGTCCCAAAGAAAGTGGAAAAGAAATTATTTAGATGAAGAGAGAGTATATTTAGTGGTGTTTCTCTCTTCTTTTAAGTTAATCAAAACTGTTTATGAGCATTTTTAACTTATAAGTCAGTTCAAGACATGCTCATGTGTGCTTATAAACTGATTTATAATTGTTTATAAGCCAGAAAGAATAAGTAGGTCTTACTATTTTTTTAAGCTAGTTTTTTTCATTTTTTCATTTTGACCAGATTATTTAGAAAATTGTCCATCACTATTTATGAATATTTCTAAGTGACTTGTCTATTATTTAAGTCATTTTACTTCCTGGAAAGAATATTTGACTTATAAACAGGTTATAAGTTAAAAATTAATTATCAGCAATAAATAAAAAAATGCTAGTACAGATAAGCACCCCCTTAGATAGAGAGGGAGTTTCCATTCCTTAGGATGCATTTAAAATAGAGAGCCCTTTGCATTTATTATTTTTAAATTGATTTAAAATATTGAATTTGTAATATTTGATTTCAAAATATTTAAATATATTATTTAATTAAAATGTTGAATTTGTTATATTTAATTTTAGAATATTTAAATACGGAGTATTTTGTAATTTTTATTAGATGGATAGATGAAATGAGTTGTGAGTATTTGTTAAAAATAATAAGGTATTTAATAGATAATGTGGATTTGAGATAATGACTGGATAAATGAATTTTAATTTAAAAGGACGAGGATGCTCTAATACTTCATATTAGAACTCACAAAAAAATTGGTGTAACTTTTTGACCCGACTTGAGAACCAATCTGAAAAATATAGATTTTTGAATAAAATTTTTGATGATCAAACTCAAAGTTGATTACAACTAAAATGGCTTGGTGAAAATGGGTCAAACTCATTTATATCCGAACTTGACTACCGGCGTGTTAAGTGTTAACGTAACATAGTAATAATAATAGCAAACATGCTAAGTATAGAGTTTGACAACTCTATTGGAAGACAGTTATAAGCATAGAGATATTATAATGTTATAAAGTCCATGGCATTCAAAAAAATTACTAGCTCAAAAAGGATGAAAAGAATCCCAAAATGGAAGTAATTTTGAGTTTTCGAAATCACTGCCAAAATGACGGTTGTGCCCAAAGAATGACCGTTCTTCGGTCTCGTATGACTTATACATGGACGTGAATCTTCAAACTCCAAATCCATTTTCTAATTCGATAATTGCATCCTTATTATCTCTTGTTTGGGCAAATGAATACTCCATTTTGACCGTCTCTATATTTTTCTATTTATTCAAGTACAGAGTACTTAATTCACTGGCTTTTAAGAGACTTCAGTCACCTACCAAATCAAACTTGGTAAGAGGTAAAAAGAGATTGTTCCGGTTTCCAAATAGAGGTGCAAAGATGTTGCGTGCCCTACCATGAAGTAAGCCGACGCCATCCAAACCCATTGGGCACGGGATCACGCACCTGTTCTCTTCAACTTATTCTTATTACTTACGGAGTATTATTATTTTTTTAAATTTTAACAAATCAAATCGAACCAGATCACACAACTCAAAAATACAACCACAATTGGATCATATCAGAGAAAATTAGAACTTTTTTCAATCTGATCAGAACCAATTAGATCATGTGGAGAGAGAACAAGAACAAGCCCTAAATTGGGAGAATCTTGATCATCCAATTCAGTATTGGATGGCGGACGACAAACCCTACAAGCTGTCAATTCATCCTCTCCTTGAACCAAGAATCAATCTTTTTGATCCCATTGGCTCCCAAAAAACAAAAGACCTAAATTGTGTATTATGTATACTCTAACAGCTGGGAACTTTTTTTATACAGCCAAAAAATTGAGACCTTTGGACCAGAATCATACGCATAAAAAGAGATGATGGCAGAAGTAATTAAACAAATAGAAGCCTCTTAAATCTTACAAAAGGCTATTTCGTAAGTATGTACATACCAGTAGGAAAACATGGAAATTGGTTAAACTGTGTGTTGACTTCTCTGTGTGACAGGCCGGGCTAAAACCCATCCCCACTTACCGAAAAAAAAAAAGGATACCTCGTCTCTGTGCAGCTTGAAGACAATGAAGAGCATATACATTCACCTGGTGTTCCTTCCACGGTGCATGTGGGTCTATTTGCGTCGTTGCAGTTGTCAGTATATAACCCACATGGAGGGCAAGTGCAGGGAGACTTTGGAACGGAAAACGGTGCGGGGAAGGGGGTGGGGAAGGCGATTGACATATAATCACAGGGAGAAACATTGTACCCCAGTCGGGAGATCCCTAGGCATCGGGAGTGGAGTCACATATCTCTGAGCAAAAGGGTTGCAAAGATGTGTGGCCGAATCTGACGACGTTGATGGTGCGGCTGCACCATCAGCTTGGCCCCGGCCATAGAACTTTGCAAACCTGTTAATGACAGAGAACTTCTCCAAATCTTGGTTTTCGGTCACCAAATCCACCAATGACAATCTCCTGTCTAGCCTGTGCACATGAATGAGCCCAAGTGAGAAAACTGGACTGATGATATTATAAATAGAAATAGCAACAAGAGTACAAAGAAAGCTTTGAGAGGTTAAACAAATTATCCCACCCCATCCTCCACAACCCAACCCCCACCCCCACCCCCCTCCCACCCCCAAAAAAAAGAAAGAAAAAAATTGATCAGCTAAGAGTCAAAAGAAAATGACTGGCTAAAAGATAGAAAAGCACAGATGCTCCTTTCTTTATCAGTATCCCAAATTCACCACAGCAGTAGTAGAGGGCTACTGCATGCGTACACACAACCTAGAAATCTAACAACATGATATTAAGCATTTGTCCAGATTATATTTGATATCAAATTCTGTCCCAAAAAAATACTTGTACCGACAGAGCAGACCAGCTGGAAGTGTAAAGAAACAAAATCAGCCAAGACCAAACACAAGATTTGACCGAAAAAAATAAGAAAGTCAAGCCAATTGCAAAAATCAGAATAAGATGTCAACAACACCTAGAAACCTATTGAGATCCCACATAAATCACAATGGGATGTCCAACTATATAAATCCGTTAGGTGGTTGGGACTGGGGAGAGGCAAATAACAGAACATTACTTCAAAAATTCTTCTTCTAAGATTCTTGCCCTCTCAGTGAACTCTTCAATAACTTTAGAGAGATGATGATCATTGTCTTCCAATTCTTTACACTTGCTTGATATCCTAAAGAACATGCAAGAATAGTCAGGGGGTATATTAACCAAAAGCAAACATTACAAAAAAGCTCCTTTCAAATCCAACACAAACTTACCTTTCTGTGCCATCAGCTCCCATACTGGGATTGTCATTAGACCTAGAAACCATGCCACATGCATCACCCAATACCAATCTAGAAACTGAATAAGCAACAGCCTCATATTCTGCATAGGAATTTGCAGAGAGAATCATTTTCGGTGGGGGTTGAAATACTTGCTGCAAAAGCTGAGTAGACAAGACAAGTCTTCTTCTTGCTCTATGTCTTGGGGGGGCATTTTCGTTTAAGTCAACATCTTCCTCAACCTTGCATTGGAAGAAGGTAGTAAGAAACCAAAAAATCTGATTATATGATTGTACAACGAGCCTAAATATAGTACCTTTTCAGTAACACCATTCACCGCTTTTGCCCAAACTATTTCAGCAAAGCTGTGGTTCAATCATATTAACATGTAAGAAAACATTTTCTTGAACATCCTAAAAAAGTGCACGCTACCAATGAAACATAAATTTGTTATGGGAAGATTATTGGAGTCATTTTGCAAAATGCTAACCTGATAGTCTGAAGAATACATGAGTCCTGTGAAACTACATCACACCAAGGACTCAAGTGAGATGAAATATGTTTGCGCTTCTTGGGTCTTAACAGGGAATGTTGATCACCCATGCCCACGGATAATGAAGGGGAAAAGCAAAACTGCTCAGCAGCAGCAGGAATGGGGTGCAAGCTAGGCTTAACATCTTGACCTGTATCATTATTAGCAGGTACCAATTGCTGCTTTGTTTTAAACATTTGCAAACTGCTGAAGGACTTGTCAAGAACGAGAGGTGGTTCACCCATATTCGTGACAGATACTTTTTGTGCATCATGCAAAACCTGCCCATTCTTAAAGGTTCCAGATCCAAAATGATTAAACCATGTTGGCGCCATTTGTGGACTAACATGGGTGTGCTTGAATTTAACAGAATTTGCATTATCTCGAAGAGAAATGGTTCGAGAATCATCCATATGAATTTCACGCATTTCCTGAGTAGGTGCATTTACTTCTTGAGAGGTCATGTTAATTTCCATATGACCCGGCTCCGAGAATTTTGGCATTCTAGAATCCACTGAGGGAACAACCACATGCTTAACTTGCATACGAACGGAACTGTCATCCGAGGAACGGGATCTTTTTAGAGCCTTACTGTGTTCAATTTCCTCATTCTTCATATACTGAATCTGGTTTGGTGATGAGAAATTCTGATGAGAAAAGTTATTAGGCTTCAAAGATCGCCCGAAGGCTTCAATATCTCTTTGCATGGATGCCGAAAAAACAGGATATACATCAGATGGATTACTTATGATGTGTTCTTCCTGAGCTTTATTCGTCTTCTCAACAATGTCAGAACTACTCAATGATACATGCTGATGACT